GGGGGGTAGACTTTCTTCTGGAAGGGGGGGGGGGGGATAAAAGCCCCCTCCCCCCCCAACGAAGAGATGCCTGGAAGAAACTCTGCTTGTAGAAGAAAGGTAACAAATCTGAGTTTGTGTTTAAAAAATTGTTTTTCAAGCATTTAAAATTAAAATCATGTTTAAGTGAAATACAAAATTAGACATTTCAGAATGATTTTGTTTTGACAAAGTGTGTGTGTGGGGAGGGGAGGGTAAGAAAACTGAGTAACAATATGGTAAAATCATATGACGTCTTTGTTAAAACACCACTGCATATTAATACTGCACAAAATAATGCATGCACTTAGACTAGCTGACGCGTGGCTTCTTTTTAACCGGAAAAGTCACAATAATACGGAGTCTAGACGCATACTACTTGCAAGGGAAGCCACTCTGAAATGTCCACACCAAGGGGTACAAAATAACATGGTATATCCTTCACCTGCCTGTTGTTGTTGTTTCTTGTTGTTGTTGTTGTTGTTGTAGACGAAAATATACTAGTGACTATGATGACGTCAAATAATTTTTTGACGATTTCAAGATTTCAAGATACGAACGTCACCGTATTATTAAATATGTCGTAAGACAATGGTTTGAAAACAATGGTGTTATATTTAATCAACATCGTACCTCCACCACCGCTCCCCCCCCTCTCGACCATCAGACAAAATAGAAAAATATTATATTTAACAATTCTTATAATCGATCGCCCCCACCGGAAATTTCAAGTTCCCTTTTCCCAACTACCCTACCCTCCTCCCCTAACGGAAATTTCAAGTTCCCTTTTCCCAACTACCCTACCCTCCTCCCCTAACGGAAATTTCAAGTTCCCTTTTCCCAGCTACCCTCCCCTCCTTCCCCCCCCCCCCCCCCCCCCCCCCCCACCGGAGCAAGTTTCTGGAACAAACCCGGAAGTTACGAATAACATTGTTACACTTTTTGACTCCGCCACTTGTCTAGTGGCTGTCTAATGGTGAACAGTTCACGATGTACGTCCATGTACGCGGGTAAATCGCGGCGACCAAATTATTTTAAATGTAATTTAACTCTTATAGTTGAAGCAAGACTTATTTACAGAATATTACAGATACATGGTAATGGTTACAATTGGTGTTAGTACAGTAGACAGCTATTTGAAAAGCTAGATGCTTTTCTAACGTAAAAATTGAGGTTTGGTGTAATTTACCATTTTGAAACTGACAGTATGAAAAGAAATATAAACAGCTGTAAAATAACATGTAACAACCACCTTTTTGGGAGGGGAGTGGGGGGGGGTGTTCATAACACCCCACCCCCAACACTCCAAAGTCTTGACTACGCCGCCATTTGTTGAAGTTAACATGTCGTTGTATACAAGCGTGTTAGGATGGTCAGTTTTTATTTCTCCGTGGGGGGTGGGGGAGGGCGGAGGGGCTCTTCGAACTTTTGGGTGGGTAGGGGAGTGAAATAAATTTTCCCCGGGGGGGGGGCGGACACTGGTAAAACTATATATTTACTTTATACATTCTATTTCGTTTCGGGGCGGGGGGGGGGGAGGGGGGGGGGGGGCGGTAGACGTGCTTTATTTTTTGGTTGTGTGATGACAGTTTGAGAAGCATTGATTTGAACCAAGTCGTAAGTCCACACTTTCTAATGATCTGATTAAGAAGATGAGTGAGTCATCGTGTCGTCTGTAATCAACTTTACTTAGAAGAAAAAAATTGAGTGTTAACTTATAAGTAGGTTAAAGAGAGGAAATAGGCGGGATATTAGGTGCGGCAAATCACACGATGATAATGTGGGTGTTGAGTTGTTTAAAAAATTAAACTGTTTGGGTTTAGTTCGAAGTTTAATTGGGACTTGAATGAGGCCCTTGGTATAGGAGTAATGGTATGTGGGCATTTAATTTGGATTCAGGCCTAGATTCAGGGCTAGGGCTATGTCATCACTAGTGTATGTTTTATACAGGAAAATATCAAAATCACTAGGGGCGATAAGTTTAGGGAATGTACATACATGGGTCTGGTCTAGTGAGTTAGCCAAACTTATAAACATGTGTCGTTCTAGTGAGTTAGACTTATAAACATGTGTTGGGTCTAGTGAGTTAGCCAGACTTATAAACATGGGTCGGGTCTAGTGAGTTAGCCAGACTTACAAACATGGGTCGGTCTAGTGAGTTAGACTTATAAACATGGGTCGGGTGTAGTGAGTTAGCCAGACTTACAAACATGGGTCGGTCTAGTGAGTTAGACTTATAAACATGGGTCGGGTGTAGTGAGTTAGCCAGACTTACAAACATGGGTCGGGTCTAGTGAGTTAGCCAGACTTACAAACATGGGTCGGTCTAGTGAGTTAGACTTATAAACATGGGTCGGGTGTAGTGAGTTAGCCAGACTTACAAACATGGGTCGGTCTAGTGAGTTAGACTTATAAACATGGGTCGGGTGTAGTGAGTTAGCCAGACTTACAAACATGGGTCGGGTCTAGTGAGTTAGCCAGACTTATAAACATGGGTTGGGTCTAATGAGTAAGCCAGACTTACAAACATGGGTTGGGTCTAGTGAGTTAGCCAGACTTACAAACATGCGTGGGTCTAGTGAGTTAGCCAGACTTACAAACATGGGTCAGGTCTAGTGAGTTAGCCAGACATTGGTCGGGTCTAGTGAGTTAACTAGACTTACAAACATGGGTCAGGTCTAGTGAGTTAGACTTACAAACATGGGTCGGTCTAGTGAGTTAGCCAGACTTATAAACATGGGTCGGTCTAGTGAGTTAGCCAGACTTATAATCATGTGTCGGTCTAGTGAGTTAGCCAGACTTATAATCATGTGTCGGTCTAGTGAGTTAGCCAGACTTATAAACATGGGTTGGGTCTAGTGAGTTAGCCAGACTTACAAACCTGGGTCGAGTCTAATGAGTTAGCTAGACTTACAAACATGGGTGGGTCTAGTGAGTTAGCTAGACTTACAAACATAGGTCACGTCTAGTGAGTTAGCCAGACTTGGGTCGGTCTAGTGAGTTAGCCAGACTTACAAACATGGGTCTAGTGAGTTAGCCAGACTTACAAACATGGGTCGTATAGTGAGTTAGACTTACAAACGGGTTGGATCTAGTGAGTTAGCCAGACTTATAAACATGGGTCGGGTCTAGTGAGTTAGCCAGACTTACAAACATGGGTTGGGTCTAGTGAGTTAGCCAGACTTACAAACCTGGGTCGGGTCTAGTGAGTTAGCCAGACTTACAAACCTGGGTCGGGTCTAGTGAGTTAGCCAGACTTACAAACATGGGTCTAGTGAGTTAGCCAGACTTACAAACCTGGGTCGGGTCTAGTGAGTTAGCCAGACTTACAAACATGGGTCGGGTCTAGTGAGTTAGCCAGACTTATAAACATGGGTCGGGTCTAGTGAGTTAGCCAGACTTATAAACATGGGTCGGGTCTAGTGAGTTAGCCAGACTTATAAACATGGGTCGGGTCTAGTGAGTTAGCCAGACTTACAAACATGGGTCAGGTCTAGTGAGTTAACCAGACTTACAAACATGGGTCGGGTCTAGTGAGTTAGCCAGACTTATAAACATGGGTCAGGTCTAGTGAGTTAGCCAGACTTACAAACATGGGTCAGGTCTAGTGAGTTAACCAGACTTACAAACATGGGTCAGGTCTAGTGAGTTAACCAGACTTACAAACATGGGTCGGGTCTAGTGAGTTAGCCAGACTTATAAACATGGGTCAGGTCTAGTGAGTTAGCCAGACTTACAAACATGGGTCAGGTCTAGTGAGTTAACCAGACTTACAAACATGGGTCAGGTCTAGTGAGTTAACCAGACTTACAAACGTGGGTTGGGACTTGCCAGCCACACCTGTCTACGTCATAAAATGACGTAATAGAGAACATGATTACTAACCCGAAAGTCTCAAGTTCGGTTCCCATGCTAAAGTCCGTAGTACATTGCAGAACCCACCCAGCTAAAGTTAACCGCCTCAGTCGGATGGGCGGTGTTAAAAACACAACCCTATCATGGGTCGGGCTCAATAAGATAGGATATGAACTTCATCTGCCCTTACATTAGTATCAATAGTCAGAAATAACCCTTGAGATATAAACTAGTGTATTATCGCCGTAGAGTCAACGTCCTACAACTAAATTCTTTACGACAGGAAGAAAAACATCAAAGATAATAACAGAGGGTCAAGATAGATAACTCTAATAAAACAAGATGTGATTATTTACATTTATTTATGTGACAAACAAGCTCCAATAAAAACATGTCTAATCTTGTTTATTAGACATTATTCAAAAAAATGTAAACATTTTTTAAAAAAATTGCATATTTAATTTTTTTTATTTTGTTAAATAAATATTCGCAGAAGTGTCATCGAAAAACATTCATTAGAAATAAAAATCTGCAGCATAAATCTCAGGAGAAGTTGAAAAACATAATTTTAATGTTTTGTCAATTGTCAAGATTGATGATGAGGGGTTGAAAAGATCGTGTATACTACTTGACAAACAATTTCAACTATATTCTTTTTTTTAGTACAAATTTGTTTTGGAAAAAAAAATAATTTAAAAAAAAACAACTCTTTTCACGATGGAGAGCTGGAAATGAATCCGAACAATAAATTAATTAGGGGACACAACTCATTTAATATTCACACTCAGCATAACCTTAGGTCTCTTTTTCTCTAGATTACAATGTTTCTTCCAGATGATTTTTTTCCTCCGGTGGGGGGGGGGGGGGGGGGGGAGGGGGCATTTGATATTATCGGGGGGGGGGGGGGGGGAGGGCGGTAAAAGTATGTTTTCTATCTTCCACTTCTTTCGCGGATAGACTTTCCCTAGAAGAGATGCCTGGAAGAAACTCTGTATATGTACAAGATACTGGCAAATTTTTAAATGAGCTATATATATATATATATATATATATATATATATATATATATATATATATATATATATATATATATATATATATATATATATCCTACAAACATACTTATATTAATACATATGCACACATTAATACTGCTTTGATCAGTACTTTTCATGCCCTCATTCTCCACCTTTCCTCTAAGATTCCTTCTGTGTTTGTTTTACTATTCCACGGAATGTTTGAAGAACAATACCTCATGAAGACAAAGCTGTCAATTCAACGACAATAACTAGATAAAAATACTTCACCATTTGAAAACAATTTATGTACACCAAATTACTATTTGTACTTTTAAAAATTTGGTTTAAAATTTATTTCTACACAACCCAACATTGTCCTATACTATAGTAGGCCATACGAAAATAATCAATGCCAAAACAGCTCTATATTTGAGATTAAACTCACTCTATCTTACATATCTTCATCAGAATTTTTTTTTACTATAAATAACCATATCACCTTTTTTTGCTGAAACTAGATATTCTCTCGCCATATTAAAAAAAATATTAATTTTATGATAAGTTATAATTGCCATCCGCTTAGAAAAATGAAAAGTTTTGGTGGGACAGAAATGGAATTGAGAAGCACTACAGATACAAAAGGCAATACTTATATTTAAAAAGGAAATGTTTGACAGTTAACTGTGACCAAAGTTTGCAATTCTCAACTGTAGTGTTAAGTAAAAAATAATCTAAAGTGATAGGTAAAATAAATTTTAAAAACATAGAGTGCTAAATTTATTCATTATTGTGATGTAAGATTGCAGATATTCCTCTTGAACAAACTTTTCCAAGGCTGCAACAAAGAAGTTCTCTTAAAGTGATTTCAGATCAAAAGTCTTGTGAGCAAGCATCTATTACAGCTGGGACAGGGAGATAACCCACGGGACATGGTAGATAACCCACATGGATGAAATGTTTCTTGGAGTACAATAGCTACGCCTCGACCACTTCTTTCAGAGACATTCGTTTCTTCTGTTTGCTCTGCTGCTCTAGTTCTAGCCTCCTCTGCTCCTCTTCTGCCGCCTTTTTCTGGATCTCTGCCACTTCTACCAAAAACTTGAATTGGCAAAAAAATTGTGGAAAACAATTAATTTTTTTCATTTACTGTATATACAAATAATTTTCAACTCTTCTACAATTTCGTTATTAAATCCCACCCAGCTATTAAAACTGTTTTGTTAAATACACCAAAAAAAAAAAAATTAAAAAAAAATTAAAAAAAAAACAGTGTTAAATACACCAAAACAGTGCCACTCTGGTTTTTATATGTCTATGTTAGTGACCATCAGTGACAGTAAAAAAAAAAACGTGCAGTGAAACTACACCAAAATTAACTGCATACAAGAAAAATATTCACCTAAATTACAAAATATTTTGAAAATAATTTTTTACAGAACTAGATCCTTATCACAAAATATTTAAGGCAAAATGTGGTTTGGATCTTTGGGCAATAAGTCTCCACCCTAAATACCTTTAGGCTTCAACTCTTCCAATCCAAGTTTTATTTGGCCTACACACTTTTAGTGCTATTAGTTAAGATCCCTAAGATTTTACCTCTGGTTTTCTGGTGTTTTTCCTAGTTATAAATTCAGAAAATGCCTTGGATGCATGCATGCCAGCCAATTCATGATTCTAAAAAGAAATATTTTTAAAAATCTGAAATAATTTTCTTTTCCAATTGTTTGGAAATAATACTTTAACATGAATTAAGTTTTCATTTTTTTTTTCACTTTTAAATTCAGGGTATCCCTATAATAAAATATATTTGAATTGAGAGCAAACTTACCAATTCATTGCTCCTTTTCTTTGCTTCTGATAACTCATATTCTTTCAACTGCTTGGGATCTTCAAGGGGTTCTGTGTAGCCCATTTTCTTCCAAGTCTTTGGATGCAAATACCAAGCACCATATCTAAATTTAACCCAGCTTGGCTCATAATCGCTGGAGATTTTCTAAAAATAGAATCAATCAAAATGTTATGCTTTTAAATATGAATCACACTTGTAATTGTTTGTTGGTTTGTTTTTGTTGTTTTTTTTTTTTTGTTTTTTTACTTTCTCGTATATACGAAGTATAGAGAAAGTATTGTAATCGTGCAAAAAAAATCGAGATTTTCACAAATCTCGACGTTTTACACCTCACTGATACGGAAAAACATAATTTTGCAATCTTGTCCGTATGTCTGTGTGTCTGTCTGTGTGTGTGTGTGTGTATGTCTGTGTGTAAACACGATAACTTGAGTACCGTTTCAGCTATGTTGATAAAATTTCATATACAAGTATTTTATCAAAATTGTAGATCCTTTTCAACTTTTGAGCGATTTCTGATAACCGGAAGTGGTACTTTTTCTACTTTGAATTTTTCAAAAGCCTATAACTTGAGTACTATTTCAGATAGATAAATGAAATTTCACATGTAAGTAAAAGATCTAATTCTCTACCTTCTGTCAAATTTTGAGTAATTACTGTTGAACAGAAGTACTAATGTACGCTATTTCCGATTTCTCAAAAAACACATGTAAATTTAAAAAGTACTAATAATATTGCGCACTATTATGCACATTTTGTTTTGGCGTTAGCTTGGTGCGCAATTCTTTTTTCTACGAAATTCTATTCTATTTTCAAAAGTTTAAGTAATTAAAAATCAAGTCTATATTCTGAGTTATATAAGAATATTCGAGAAAGTTCAGGGGAGATCACTCCCGGTTTATTTTGCTGTAGGCTCTGACTCTCAAATTTAAAAAAAAAATATTTTATTAAGATGCAAATATTAAGACTGCATGTTATTAATGATCTATAATTGTAAGCTTCACATACTTATATAGAAAAACTAAATCAGCTAAGTGAAAATTAATTACACTTGATTTGTAAAAAATTGAAAACATGTATCAACCTTTTTTGGAGCTTCAAAGTTAGCCAAATGAGTTTTTGATGTGGGGGCAGGAGGTGGCACAACTGCTGACACTCGAAGTTCCTGAGGGACGTTGGTCAGTTCAACAACATGTATAGGCACAGAGAGGGCGGGTTTAGTTTCATAGCTAGAAATAGAAAATCAATGTACATTACCTAACATTTAAGTGTGGTGGAGGCAAGTTAAGTACACCACTATATGACCATTTAATTTTTAAAAACTAAAGTATTAACTAAAAGTTTTATATTTTTAAAGTTAAATATAACTTTTGATATACTTGAATATAAAAGTTGTTTATTTATTTTCTATTTTGAAAGTAAACTGCACTATATTTATAGATTTACAGTGTGGCAATCAAAATGTAGGGTATATATTGATATACTTCATCACAAGCAACATTATCAGGATGAAACAGTAGAGCATCTTGAATAAAAAACATGCAGCCTAACTACACACTGGCATCAACATATTGGCAAACTTACCCACTGGCAAACAGACTAGTTATTGTGGACTCCTCTATATTGTTCGTCTCGCCACCAAGATCTTGCACCCATTCACAAAATTCCTAAAATATTAAAATATTTGTTAAATATAATTCCAAATAAAAATTGAATTTTTACTGTGTTCCAAGCAAGCTTTTATCAGTGATGTAACTGTCTACTACACTAGTTTAAAAAAAGGTTACAGTAACTTTTTTATTTTAGAATTTAGTAATTGATAAGGTAATAGTATAAAGAGAACAGAAGCTATATTTGTGGGCTGTTACCTGTGTGACTCTTTTCATGTGTTCTTCTTCAGCAATAGTGTTACTCCAGGGTATCTCACTCTCTTTGGTCTTCTTTCCATCTTTCTTGCTTTCTTTACGAGGCACCCATCGGTATAGATTTTTTGTTGCTAAGGTATCACCATCTTTAAATCTGTGTGTAAACATAGTAATAACCATCAAAGGTATTATACATGCTACCTTATATTTTTTAACATTCAGAATCAATTTTAAATTAGATTTTAAAATTGCAAGTAATATTTTATGTCTATTGAAAATTATAGTTAGCATTATTCAGTAAATTGTCACAAAACTAATGGCTAAAAAAGTGAAATTGTATTAATAATTTAAAACACTTTATTCAGAAACTTTGTAAATTGGACTTGACTTGTAAATGTCTTTACTTTGTGAGGATACCAATATTACTGTTTTATTATAACTTTTTATAAAAACCTCACAACAGCTACCTTTTTTTATTCGCACTAGTTAAAATATCGTAAGTATTTAATTATCCAATAACTCTTTCAATTAATAAGTTCAGTAAATAGTATCATAATACATCATATTTTATATAACACATACTTAAGTGGAATGATACCTTTTTTTTTAATAATTTAAACTTTATTGTAAATCAATAAAACATAAACCTTACATAAATAACTCAAAGAAAAACACTTATTCATTTAAAGGTCCTCTTTACTTATTTGAAAATAATTTGTTAATTTATTAAAGATCCGTGAATAATCATGCAAAAAATCCTAACGTACTCTAGCAAACTGAAGCTCTGTTAAAATTTAGTTTTAATCATTTAATTAGTAAAGACATTTGGAAATACATTAGTAATTTGTTATTGAAAGCAAAAAATACAAAATTGACCAAAAACATTAAAAACATACCCTAAATCATCTGGCTTAGGCCTCACACTTTGATCTGCTTCAGGGAACGAACCGTCTTCTAAATGCTCATCTAATTTTCCAAGACCTTCAATATCATCATCTTGAATCTCATTTATATTAAACTGTGGGTCTAGAAGATCTACAATGTCTTCAAATATCTGAAACACAACAACAGAATAACATGACAGCTGCTCACATTTATTGTATACACAATAACTAATGTAGTTCAAAACAATAAATCTGCAAATTAAAACATTTCATTTTTTGTCAGCCTAGTTTTTTGAAGAGGTTATTTAATTAAGATAGTAAACTGCATTTTGTTTTAAATTTAAAAAACCAGCAATAAATAGATATTTTAAATAGACATTTATTTTTTAAATCTAGGCATCTTTTGATTATATTCTATATTTAATGAGTTTAGGTTAAACTTGAACTGAAACTGAAACAGATATTTCAAACAAAACAAAAAGTGGATAAAGCATAATTTTTTTCAAAAATTGAAATGAACTCAAACATCAAGTTTTTTTTTAAAAATACTTTTTGAATAATTTCATTGTTTCCTTTATAAGCAGCTACTGCCTGCAACTTAGATTTTAACAAGGGCCTTCTCTGAAACCAAAGATCAATTTTACATACAATTTATTTGTAGTCCGATCATAGAAATATTCTACATTACAAATGTATGAGAAACACAAACTAATAAGACTTCATCCACATGTGCAGAAATACAGTTCTCCAGTTGATGTTTTTTTTTTAATGGGAGCTCCAAATAGAATTGACAGAGGTTATTTTAATTAAAACTTAGCTTTAATTTAATTGTAGTAGCCTTGCAACTCTAGGTAAAAAAAAATAGTGGTGACAGTAAAGAAAACCTAGCCTCAACGGTAAATATTAATGTTAACAAACAAATAAACCTTTGAATCTTATTTTAAAATGCATTTATTTCACATTAGTTTTCGAAAAATCATTTTAAAAAATATAAACATTCACAATTGTTACCTCTGGTGCAACACTTTCTTCCAAGTGTGGGTATAAGGCTAATGGATGCTTTAGTAAACCTTGCTCAACTTCTTCCACAAATGCTCTTCGTTGGTATTGCTGTGGTGTATTCTTAGATAAATAGGTCTGAAATCGACTAAGCCTTTTCTTAGTTCCTGGTTTTTTCAAACCTCCACTATTGCAGCTAAGAAAATCACTGCTAATTATAGGAAAATCTCCTTTGCCGATCTATTAAGATAAAAAAAAACTTAAGTATATTAATTTCAATATATGTAATAAAAAAAATAAACAGCTATGAACTACAATGAATGATGATGTGAAGCTAGAAAAAGTCATTATAAAAACTGTTTAACACAATTTTACCTTTATAAAATCACAGCCATTTGAATCAGGAGGAAGGCCATCTCTAAAGTCATCTAATCCATCTTTTAAAAAAATCCAATCCTTAGTGTTGCTTGTAGTTATTTTTTCACCAGGCTTCAAATTTTTAATGTATTTAGTTTGAAGCCTCTCTTTATACCTGCAACATTTATTAAAACAAAACATTTAATTTACAAAGCCAGAAAAAATGTGTTTGTTATTTTCAAAATAAACATAAATGACAAACATTATGGGGTCGTCCATAAATGACGTAACACTCGTAGGGGGGAGCAGGCTCCATAATTTTGTGATGGTGTGTGATGAGGGGGAGGGGGGAATCAGATGGTGTGACATAACTTCTTTGCATTATAAAAAAGCAATGTTAGAAAACAAGTTTTAGCTGTTATTTCGCGTTTTAGAAAAAGGTTTAATAAATTGTAATAGGAATTTATCAAAATACTATATGTTGACAGAGTACTGACAAGATTTTGGAAAAATATTAATGTTTTAAGAAAAATTCAACAGCAATTTTGAGGAGGATTGTAGGCTGAGGTGTGATGTCATTTTAGGGGGGGGGTCTGGCTTTTTGTGACAATGAGTGACGGAGGGGAGGGGGCAGGTAAAAATTGTCAAAAAATGTGTAACTAGATATTGAAATCTAATAACTAATTAATATTAGTTAATTAACAGTTACTATTAAGTAGTTAGGAATTACTTCAAAATTACTTTAGGAGTCTTTAGGCTACTTAATTTATTATTTAAAAAACTTACTTGAGTCATACAACTTGTATGGCCTACTAGATCTACTATTTAATAACTAGATAGGCTACTAATACCAACTAACTTAAGACATTAAGTTAATATTAAGTTTGCTTAACGTATTATGTGGAGTTAAGTGTTACTTATCTTTTAGTTTTATGATCATTTTAAATTTAAAAATTAAAATTTTATCTTACCATTTTTGATGTTTTACAGGCTGATCATTTTTTGTATCTATCAAGGCTAGATCATACTTTTTTTCCGCCATATTGATATTTTATGTATAAAGCAATGTGTAAGATATATGAATATTAAATAATAGCATTAACATTCAATTTAAACAATATCTCACGTTCTTTCTTTTAGAAAATAATATAAACAAAATAAGGTTAGTCGCCATTTGTTTACCGTTGCCACTTCCTGTTAATTTATTTTTTCAAAATCGGAACATTATTATTTAATAATGTTTAAACATTAATTTTCGAGTATCGTTCTTCGCAATATAATAAAGCTCGTTTTTTTTTAATTTAGTATCTTAAGGAAATATCATGTGCATTGAAAATGTAAAACGTGTAGCTTTAAATATATCCATGGCAACCAGTAATCATAAATGATAAAACTTTTAAGACTTTTCTAAATAGTAGCTCTTCAATATTTCCCTTAGATTTCCTGTAAGGCATGCGCATCGAATAGCTGTGCAGAAAAATAAACATTCCTTCAGCTCAAAATGGCTTCTAATATGAAAGTACGTGTAGATCTAAATGAATGTTGTAAACTCCAACTTTATTCATTTAAATTATTTTTAAATAGGCCTAAGGCCATTGCAGGTCTTAGTTAATGTGGTCTATCTTAAAGTATCTTATACTTTAATAGCCTATTTAATAGGGTATAGATAGGCCCTCTTAAATTTAAAAGTAATAAAATTATGGTAATCTATCGTTTTGGGTACGTAAAATCGCCCGCGATTTGTAATGTGAAAAACAGGTGACTCCTTAAATTTTAATAATTATTTCACATTTTGAGGAGAATTTATGTTTTGAAAAATTCAAAAATGTTTCCTTGATTCATTTATGTACCTGTTTTTAAACAATTGAATTAAAACTTTTCCGTAATAAATGAAGACTAGCGATGTTTCCAACAGATGCAACCATGCTCATTTACTATAGCAGCCATCTTGTCTAAGTTTTATTTTTATAAGCTTTTAGCGCCAGATTCAGGGGGAAGTCACTCTATTTTACAAATGGCTGCTGTTTATATAGCAAATCTTGCTCTCAGACACTGCTGTTTAAAGTTAATTTCTGGCCTATATCAATATATTTAGCCATTGATTTAGGTTTATTATTCATTTATCTATAATATTTGACACAAAAGTATGACAATATACTTCTATTAAAGCCTTGACAATGAGGTAACGTTTTCGTACATGAATAGCCGCGGGCGATTTTACGTACCCAAAACGATAGATTACCAAAATTATAAAGGCCTAGAGTTAGAGTAGAGTTAGAGTCAAGAGGTGGCAGAGGGCCTACATTTTAAAATTTAATTTAAACTTTAATAAATTATAGGGGCCTACTAAATAGGCCCTATTTATTACAAGCTTTTATTTAACTCACTTCCTCTGTCTGTCGTAAGTCGTCAGTCGTCAGTCTAGACGGAAACGCAGGAGTGAAAATTCGGACAGTTCTACTTGACCGACACGATTCACAGTTGGCACGTGGGTCAAGACATGAAGACAATGCAATCTGAAACTAAATTTGACTTAATTGGATGCCTAATTGATTTTTTATGAATTAATTAAAATTTGGACCGAATTAGTAGGCATGTCTAGCCAACCACACCACACGCGTCATCAATAGCTGCGCCATCACGACCACGTAATGGCTGCGTTCAAAAACCATTGCGCGCCTACTGAACGTGATATTCAGTAGGCGCGCAATGGTTTTTAGTCATGTAACTCTATTGTAGATAAAACATGTAAAGTACTGAAAAATAAACCGGTAGTGATCTCCCCTAAACTTTCTCGAATATTCTTATATAAAACAACAGGGGATGGTAACTGGGGATATAGTTATGATTTTTAATCCATTTTAAATACTTAAACTTTTAAAAATAGAATAGAATCTCATAAAAAAAACATTGCGCACCAAGCAAACGCAGAATAAAAACGCGTATAATAGTGCGCAATATTATTAGTACTTTAAAAATTTACATTAGTTTTTTGAGAAATCGGAAGTAGCGTAAATTACTACTTCCAGTCAACGGAAATTACTCAAAATTTAACAGAAGGTAGAGAATTAGATTTTTTACTTACATGTGAAATTTCATTTATCTATCTGAAATAGTACTCAAGTTATAGGCTTTTGAAAAATTCAAAGTAGGAAAAGTACCACTTCCGGTTATCGGAAATCGCTCAAAAGTTGATACGGATCTACGATTTTGATAAAATACTTATATATGAAATTTCATCAATCTAGCTGTAACGGTACTCAAGTTATCGTGTTTACACACGGACAGACACACACACAGACAGACACACACACACACAGACATACGGACAAGATTGCAAAATTATGTTTTTCCGTATCAGTGAGGTGTAAAACGTCGAGATTTGTAAAAATCTCGATTTTTTTATTTTGCACGATTACAATACTTTCTCTATACTACGTATATACGAGAAAGTAAAAAATTCATAAAAAACGTTTTAATAACAAGCTTTTATGTAATGATGATGCACTAAAAAGTAGAAAATAAATTATAGACTACTATTTAAATAACTATAAAGAAAAGCGTGGGTGTCTTCCTTAACATTAGTAAAGGTATCCAATAGATACTAAAGTGACCCACGCTTTTCTTTATAGTTATTTAAATAGTAGTCTATAATTTATTTTCTACTTTTTAGTGCATCATTACATAAAAGCTTGTTATTAAAACGTTTTTTATGAATTTTTTAAATAAATTTAATTATAGGCCTAGGGTATAATATTTATTTAAATTTATTACTATCGTTAGTAATGACTGTTACTCCTTACTACCGCTACTTCTGTGTTAAAATCCATTCCTTTTAACTTGCATTACTTCTATTAATAATTATGTAGGCCTAGCCTCAGAGGCGTAGCGATGGGGTTACATATGTCGGGCGCCAACCTTAGGGGGCGCCAAAATGGGTTGTAATAACAAATTAAAGTATCATTTTAGCTGCATTTTTTCATTATAAATAGTTTGAGGGGGGGAGGGGTGCAAATCAAAAGTTTGAGGAAGGGGGTTGCAAATCGAAAGTTTGAGGGAGGGTGCAAATCGAAAGTTTGAGGGGGGGGTGCAAATTAAAAATTTGGGAAGGGTAGCTGTGCCGCTGCCTAGCCTATTACTAATAGTAATGAACACTAACTAATAATAGTTACCGTTTTAACAATTATCTGTGTTGTTGATGCTTGCTGTTTATTTACTATATGGCACATATCTATATGACACTGCCAAATTTATAGTTAGACCTGCAAGATAAACATTTATCAACAGCCAAAAAATGATTATTAACATTACACAATTCAATTTCCAGCGAATTTTCAGCTTGCCTGAAAGGGCTCATGGACAAGGCCGTGTAGTTTATTCCTGGCAGAGGACTCAAGGAAACTTTCTGGCCACTACAGGGTAGTGTTTTATGTTATTGTATAATCAAAATTATCTTTCTTTTCATTACAAAACTAGTCATCTTAGTGAAGTTTTATATTAAATTGTCAATTAAAAATCATCCTTAATTTCATTATATTTATAATCACAACTCTTTTACTAATCAGTTGTTTTTTTAAATGTGATGCTGTAACTATGAACACTTGGTCATTAAAATACAGCTGTAACATTATTCATTGTGGCTGCTACGTCAATTGTAGCCTACTTTCAAATAGTTTTTCTGAACTTTTATTTTTATATCTTCAGGGCTGATAGTACAGCTAAAATTTATGATCGCCATGGAGATTTAAGAGGAAGTGTTACCCTCCCAGGGTAAGACTTTTATATCATAACTTGTAAAAAATTACATCTTAGACAAAAGTAGGTCTACTATCTTTTCTTAATGTTTATTCAGTACTAAATAAATAATAATGATCATGACCTATTTTAGTTTTTAACTTTCATGTATTTTATCAATTTAACATTTAAAAATAATTCTGCATAACATTTTAAAATAAAGAATTACTTCCCCTTAAAATAATTAGTTGTGATATTTTCTCCCAAATTATTATGGTTCTGTAATAACTATAAACCTTGAAAATAATTTCCCTAACAATAAAAACATTTTTTTTTTAAATTACTAATATATAATTCATCTCTCACAATGTTTCTTATGAGATGCCTGTAACTATTTGTTTCAGTCGTTGTACTGCATTAGATTGGGATAAAGATGGAGACTTGCTAGCACTGGTCTGTGAAAACTCCCCTATGATTTACCTGTGGGAAACAAGTTCAGAGAAGTTTGTTCCAATTGACAGTGGGCTCAAGTAGGTTGACAGGATGGTCATGATGTGTTGGTTACCTGATTTCTGCTGGGGGAATGTCTGCTGAATAGCAGAAGTTGGGGAATGTTTGCTGAGTAGCAGAAGTTGGGGAATTTAGCAGAAGTTGGGGAATGCCTGTGGAATAGCAGAAGTTGGGGAAAGTCTGCTGAGTAGCAGAAGTTGGGGATTGTTTACGGAATACCAGAAGTTGGGGAATATCTATGGAATAGCAGAAATGGGGAATGTCTGCTGAGTAGCAACTAGTCTAATGCATTCCTGGTTTAAATGGGGATAGTCTACTGAACAGCGACTGGCTGAAGTATTTTGAAGTGCTATTTATATATTATTGCATTTTATCAGCTCTAGAATAAAGCCTCAGTGGTTGATATAGCCATATAAGAATTAGTTATTATTCTGATTTGGACAACATGTACTAATTGAATTCTTCTGTCTTTTGACACTTTTGTAAACACTTATGATGTTTCTTTACCAAACAGGGATGGAATGACATTTTTATTATGGTCCAAAACTGGTTCTTACCTAGCCATTGGAACAGTAAAAGGGAATCTTCTCTTGTATAACCATCAAACCTCAAAGTAATTACCTCTCAGTTTTCATAAACTTATTAACTGTTCAGTTCTAGAGTATCTATAATCTTTAAACAGATACTATCCTAAAATTAGTTTTTAAAATTGTACTTTTAAATTTCTTAAATCTAGTTGTAATAAGTATTAACCTGTTGTCTACCTGTTGTGTTCTTCATCTTAAGAAATTTAGTTTTAGTTTATTAAACAATGTATATTTTCAAAACTGCTGTTAACATATAAAACTAAATATTATAAAAAACAAAACAAATAATTGATGTGGGGGGGTGCTAATTTACAACCATTCTTTTATGTGATATCTATTGTATGTCGACATTTGTTTTTGTTTAGAAAAAATATTGTGATTGGTAAACATACCAAAAAAATCACCTGTGGGGCGTGGAGCGCAGAAAACCTGTTGGCTCTGGGGAGCGAGGACAAGACACTGAGCATCAGCAATGTGGATGGTGACACCCTGAGGCAGACCCCACTGAGGGGCGATCCCACAGATCTGGAATTTTCTGAGATGAAAGGGGATGAGAGAAGTTCAATCGGAGAAAACACAGTAAGTGATAATGTTAATTTGTGACAAAATACAGTAAGTGCTAATGTTAATGTACATTGACAAAACACAGTAAGTGCTAATATTAATGTACATTGACAAAACACAGTAAGTGCTAATGTTAACGCACATTGACAAAATACAGTAAGTGCTAATATTAATGTACATTGACAAAACACAGTAAGTGCTAATATTAATGTACATTGACAAAACACAGTAAGTGCTAATATTAATGTACATTGACAAAACACAGTAAGTGCTAATGTTAACGCACATTGACAAAATACAGTAAGTGCTAATATTAATGTACATTGACAAAACACAGTAAGTGCTAATGTTAATGTACATTGACAAAATACAGTAAGTGCTAATGTTAATGTACAGTGACAAAACAGTGTAAATGCTAACATTCATGCACACTGACAGGCTTTAATTATGCTGTTTGGTAACATAATGTGTTTTTTTTATCTTATACATGATGGGATTTTTTTCTAGGTCAGTGTAAATGTTGCTAACAAGACTTTATTCCTTTTTAACATCAACGACCCAGACAACCCTATAGAATTGGCATTTCAACAAAAATATGGATCTATTATAGCTTATAAGTGGTAAATATATAACTATGTAATTCATTTCCATTTTTTTATAAGAGTTTAATTACAACATAGTCTTAGTTAGATTGCTACACATTGTCTTATATAGCATCTTGTTAGCCTTATGTCTAACATAGATCACTATATATAGTCTTACAAAGTATCCTTTTTAAGTTAGTCGTAACATTGACTGCTACGAACATTGACAATGACACCCATTCCTACATAGTATTTTTCATGCCTTAAGTCTTATCTAGACTTCTATCACTGTATAAAACCTGAGCCTGCTGTATTTACACTCTAGGTTTGGAGATGGTTACATCCTCATTGGTTTCTCACAAGGCTATTTTGTGGTCATCTCAACCCACCTGAAAGAAATTGGTCAGGTAGGATTTCATTTATCACTTGTGAATCGTGTTTTACTATAAGACTTATTGATGGCCATAAAAAATTGTACTTGAGTATAAAATCAATGAAATGCATAAATGGTCTTTACAAGAATTTGTATCTAGAAAAAATCTGTCTTCTCAAAGATTGTTAAAAAGAATACTTTTGGTTAAGCAATATTCTAAATCCTACCATAGTTCAGCTTTTAAATGCCTGTATTTATTAATAAAAAACTTTACAATAAGTCTTCAAAATTTTTTGTTTCTAAAATCTCTAACAAAGTCAGTCCCTCATATAAATAATACAATCCGTTTTTTTTTTTTACCTTTTTTAACACTGTATACCTAGGAATGTTTCCAAGCTCGCAACCATAAAAACAACCTGACGAGCATAGCTATTTCAACCGCTCTAGGTAAAGCAGCATCGTGTGGGGACAACTGGTAGGTTGGAAACCTTAGCATTAAGATCCATGACTTGATTCTCTCACTTAGCATTAAGATCCATGACTTGATTCTCTCACTTAGTATTAAGATCCATGACTTGAATCCTCTTTAGCCTTAAGATCCATGACTTGATTCTCTCCCTTAGTATTAAGATCCATGACTTGATTCTCTCGCTTATCATAAAGATCCATGACTTGATTCTCTCGCTTAGCATTAAGATCCATGACTTGATTCTCTCCCTTAGTATTAAGATCCATGACTTGATTCTCTCGCTTATCATAAAGATCCATGACTTGATTCTCTCGCTTAGCATTAAGATCCATGACTTCATTCTCTCGCTTATCATAAAGATCCATGACTTGATTCTCTCGCTTAGCATTAAGATCCATGACTTGATTCTCTCGCTTATCATAAAGATCCATGACTTGATTCTCTTGCTTAGCATTAAGATCCATGACTTGATTCTCTCGCTTATCATAAAGATCCATGACTTGATTCTCTCTCTTAGCATTAAAATCCATGACTTGAGCGACCTGAAAGAAATGTATGCCATCATCACCCTGGACGAGGAGAAAAGTCTGGACAAGATTGCCTGGAGTGATGATGGTCAGCTTCTGGCTGTGTCCACCCCAAGAGGTGGTTTACATGTCTACCTGGCACGTCTGCCAATGCTGGCCTGTGTCAACAACACCCGGGTGGCCTATCTCACCTCATTGCTGGAGGTCACGGTGGAGGATCACATTGCACAGGTGAGCTTTTTCTTTCATACCTTTTCTTTCTACCTTTTTGTATACCTTTTATCTTTTTCATCTTTTTTCCTGCCAACCAGTTTTGTAGTATTAGTTCCATTCATTTACCTTTTTTTTTTGGCTTTTTTTTTACCTTGCAGTACAATTTTCTTCATATTTTTTAGCTTTTTTTAAAAAAAAAATTTTAATTTACACTTAATTTTTAATTTACCCTTTTTAGTTTAAACTTAATTTTTTTTTTTTTTAATTTTAATTTACACTTAATTTTTTATTACACTTTTTAGTTTACACTTAATTTTTAATTTTCACATAATCTTTAATTTACACTTAATTTTCAATTTACACTTAATTTTTAAATTACGCTTCATTTTTAATTAACACTTCATTTTTAATTTACACTTCATTTTTAATTTACACTTCATTTTTAATTTACATTTAATTCTTAATTTACACTTAATTTTTTTATTTACTTAATTTTTAATTTGCCCATAATCTTTAATTTGCACTTAATTTTTATTTTTACAAGGATCCACCAGTGAGTGTTCAGGTTGAAGTGGAGCCATCTTTTGTTGGTGTTGGACCTTATCACCTGGGCGTTGGCATGAACAATAGAGCCTGGTTTTACCTGTTTGGGGAGACAGGTGAGTTGTTTTATATCATTTATCAAAGGTGTTGGCATGAACAAAAGAGCATGGTTTTACCTATTTGGTGAGTTGTTTTATACCTCGTGACTTTTTAAGAATAAAATGTTATTGTCTTAAATGTCTACAAACATTCAGAGCAGGCTTACACAATTCCTTGATTCTGATTTGATAATTCATAACATGAGGTATTCAATATCTGGTCACATTTTTTTATCCATTTCAGTTTGCCAAATTAAATACATTAAAAATTATTAAAAGCATCATGTATAACTCTCACCCAGATATATTAAGGATTCTAATTAACAGAAGTATGAATAAAGCAAACTTTGTAGGCCTACAGTTTGAAATTTTTTCCCCTTTATTCTCTAATTTGTAGAAATTGTAAAAATGCTTCTATAGGTCTGGTGTTGCTGAAAGAAAGCAAAGAATATCTTGGAACAGTCCAGTCCATGAGCATGAATTCAGACTATGCAGCTGTCAGTTTTGAGGGCAAAGTTCAACTTCATATGGTAAAGCTGACTGTCTTCTTTTATGTTTGATTTATACATAAGCCCTTGCAAAGTTATAATGTGTTTTTTTTTATGTCTGGCAGATTGAAGGGGAGGGAACTGGTGCTAGTGATGAGAAAGAATCTCGGCTTTTCCCAGACTCTGATCAGAAAAACTGCAAGATTACCTCCCATGCTATGACTAATGAATTTCTCATCTTTTCTACAAATGTAATTTCATCATTTGTTGTTAGATTTTTAAAAATGTTTTATTAAAACTTTTTTTTTTAGTTTGTTGTTTAAAAAAAAATGTATAACTTTTTTTGTATTCTTAAGTCCCTTGAAAATAGCAACCGTAGCAATTTTAACTATGTAGGCCTATATTTTTACATTCGGTGATAACAAAAGTAAAATATTGTTGCAGATTGGTGGCATCCACTACTTTTACATTGAAGATTTTAATTATGTGGTGGAACATCGTCATGTGACTGGCATCCGCAAGATTTTCCCTGACACAAGTGGGGCCCATCTTGTGTTCCTGGATGAGAAGAGTGATGGATATGTCTACAACTCTGTGAGTCTGTCTATCTACACAATTTGTTTGATACTCTTTTACACAACGTATTTCAATATTTCAAGTAATCCCTTAGGGAGTTTATTTACACAATTTATTTGCTGAAATTTTGTGAGGTTTATTTGTCTATCTACTCAATTTGTTTGATTCACTTTTATACAACATTTAAATATTTCATGTAATCCCTAAGGGAGTTTGTTTACACAATTTATATGATAAAATGTTGTGAGTAGATCATTGTAAGGTTTATTTTTTTTATACTCTTGATTTTTTTTCCCCACTTGTATGATAAATATCATTAGTTATATAATTATTAAATCTTAAATATATTTAGATTTGAATGCTGTTTGTATTTGTTACCTAGGCTGATGACACAGTGATAGGTATCAGTGACTTGTCCCCTACAGTTCAAGGTGTGCTGTGGGAGAACTGGCTTCCTGATAAGGTGGGTACCCAAACAATTTTTTTTAAGTCCATATTTCATTCAAGCTGGGAGAAAATGGCAACCACATTCTGCTGAGTAGCTCTGTGTTTAGGGGTCATCCATTTATACCATCTACACTGAGGGGGAAGGGATCCACAAAAAAAAAGGTGGACTCTTATGGACCCCCCCCCCTCATTATCTTACATCATTTACCACAGATGTAGTGTAGATGTGTGTACACTAGTTGCAACTTTACACAAATACACATTTTTTTTTTTAATTTTCATGTCTACAATTTAAACTATTGAAATTTGATCTACTATTATTTACCAGGGCGTCTTTATGGCCTATGATAATGAGAAGATGTACACCTACATTTATTCTATGGATTCAGTTAAAGGTAAGTGAGGAGCTATTTCCCCTGACTGCCAGTTCAAAAATAAATAAAGTTTCTCTTTTGACCTAGCGATCTATTGCGCAGATGAAGTAGAGTTTCTATGTTGCTTGACCCCTGCATATGAAGGGTTGGTGTGGTTCACGCTATTCCCATCCGCCTTTACTTTCCAACTGGGTGGATTCATCCTACTCAAGTCTGAATCCGAACTGAAGACCTTTGGGCTAGCAACCAAACACACTTTCTTTCGAACACGCTGTCAATTGAAAAATAATAATAAATTACTTATTTGATTGAAATTTTTACTATAGTTTTAAAATAGAACAGTTGGTTTTAAACCTTATCTAAGCAAAGATAAATAGACACATAAAAGAAGTGCAGAAGTTTCAATAAGAAAATAACCAAAAAGGTCTGATAATAGTCAGTCAAAGTATTTGCACCAGAATGTTTAAAGTGAGCGACTAAGTTAATAAAGTAGTTATTTGAAAACAAATAAGTATTGGAATTTATAGTTGAAGTTAGGTAATGCCAGATGAGGCTGTTAACAGTGGTGATTTTTAAAGAATTGCTGGTTTAGTGGATACCACCTTTTTATCTATTTAGATAAGGTACGAAATACATTTCTATAGTTGATGTTTACTTTTCACAGGAAGTCATGTGTCATTTGTTGGGGCAAGCAAGTTACCATATGGCCAGATTCCTGTGTTGTTGTACAATGGGGAGGTTACTCTGCAAACAGCTAGTGGGAAAATGGCTAACCTCCTCCTGAACACACATGCTCATGTCTTCAATGAAAATCCAAATCAACTGTCTCTCAATGATGTAGGTGAACTGTTTACACACATACATTTAATTCTATTGAGTTATTTTATGTCTATTCTAAACAAATGTAAACATGATTTTGCCAATGTTCCCTAACAGTTTAAAACTTAACTTCTCCATTCAGTGTAAAGTTGCAGCCAAACAGTGCATCAGTCTTAAAAGGTTAGTTCCTACTATGGAATATGTAACTATTGTTTTGTTTTCTTAACACTAATCTCACTTTTAAAAATGTGTTTCCTTTGAAAAATTTCAATATTTCATTCACAGTGTATTTGTTTATTAAATGAGGAATTTGTGTTGTTATTTAATAGTTCACTGCCATCATTACAGCCCCACTTTTATGTGACATGTCCAAAGGATGATGTATATGTTGATAATTATTACATAGTGCCACTGTTACATACTTACCTGATATGTCCAAAGGATTTTGTTTAAATTGATATTACGTAGTTCCACTGATACAGCCCTACTGTTATCTTGATATGTCTTAGGGGTCTTGAATATGTTGATATTAGATAGTGCCACAGTTACATACCTACTGTTATCTTGATATGTCTTAGGGGTCTTGAATATGTTGATATTAGATAGTGCCACAGTTACATACCTACTGTTAGCTTGATATGTATTAGGGGTCTTGAATATGTTGATATTAGATAGTGCCACAGTTACATACCTACTGTTATCTTGATATGTATTAGGGGTCTTGAATATGTTGATATTAGATAGTGCCACAGCTACACACCAACTGTTATCTTGATATGCCCAAAGGATTTTGTTTTTGTTGATAGTATGTATGTGCCATTGTTAAGTCCTGCTGTTTCTTGATATGTCCTAAAGGTTCAAAGATGCCTGGGTGTTTTGTGCTCTGATAAAGAAGGATGACATGTGGAAAGAACTTGGGAAAGCGGCTTTACAAAATCTGGATCTTGATTTTGGTCAGTTTTTTTTTTTTTTTACAGAATTAGTAAAAAAATTTTATAGTTTTGTTGGGTGGCTGTACTTGCATTCAATCAGGCACATTCTACATTTACTGGTCATTGTTTATAAATTTTATGTAACTGTGGCTTTGTTGTGTCAGTGTTTTGCTTTAAATCACATTCTAGCAACAATTTGACAGTGACTATTGAATTAAAAAATTAAATTTTTCAGAGAAAAAACTGCCTTTATCGTCCCACTTCACTAATAATTATAATCTACATCTGTCTTGTTAAACTTCTGAATAATTTGTCAATAATAATGGCTGTTTAAAAAGTAAATAAAATTATTTAAATTTTTATTTAGAGAATCAATTATTTCAACCTTATCATTTTATTTCTTAACTTCAGCAATTCGAGTGTACAGACATATAGGTGATGTGGGTATGGTGTCCTCACTACAGAAGATTCAGGTTTGTTGCTGTTATAAATTAGCCTAAAATAGTTATTGTATTGGTCTTTGCTGTATTAGAATCATCACTGTTCTATTTACAAGTATGTGCTTGCATACTGCTGCTAAATTGTTATTATATATTTCATTGGTGGAACAAATTGAATATTGGTTAATGTATTGATATGTTATCTTTGAATGTGTAGTGTTGTACTGATCAGTGACATGTTGTATAGACCCATAAAATGTTGTATAGACCCATGGAAAATTTTTGTATTGGCCTGTGGAATGTTGTATAGAATTGAATTGCCCTGTAGAATGTTGTATAGAATTGAATTGCCCTGTAGAATGTAGTTTTATAGACCAATGGAATGTTGTATAGACCAATGGAATGTTTTTGTATTGGCCTGTGGAATGTTGTATAGAATTGTATTGCCCTGTAGAATGTTGTATAGAATTGAATTGCCCTGTAGAATGTTGTATAGAATTGTATTGCCCTGTAGAATGGTGTATAGAATTGTATTGTCCTGTAGAATGTTGTATAGAATTGTATTGCCCTGTAGAATGTTGTATAGACCCATGGAATGTTGTATAGAATTGTATTGCCCTGTAGAATGTTGTATAGACCCATGGAATGTTGTATAGGATTGTATAGACCTGTGGAAAGTTGTTTTATAGACCAATGGAATGTTGTATAGACCTGTGGAATGTTATAAAGACCTGTGAAATGTTGTATAGACACGTTGAATGCTGCATTGACAAGTAAAATGTTGTATAGACCTGACCTATTCCATCTATGACCCACCAGGCTATTGAAGACAAAAACCAGCTGTCTGGGTACATCGCTATGTTCCTGGGGGAGTTTAACCTGGCTCAAGACTTGTTTCTGGCATCCCAGCATCCACTGGCAGCCCTAGAGGTCAGTTAAAGATGGGGGGGAGGGTAGCTTTAAACTCCAGGAATTAACTCTTGTTAAATGTATGTTACGTTCAGGTTGGTTTCAGATAAACAACAACTCTTCGTGACTATGTTCACTACTTTTATTCCGTCCAAATATATATATATTCACAAGTAGCCCTCGTCCTAATTGCTAGCAACTAACCCCTGACAATCATTCACTCCAGCTTTTATAACAATACACAAACACACCGGGGTTAACAATATTCTAGGGTAAACTCAACTCACACACTCTCCCCTAATTCTAGATCATTCTATCCTATTCTAATCTAACCTACAACTGTCCCGTAACAATGTATTGAATTGAATTGCTTCTCACAACATGACTCGCTTTATTATTGAAAGGTTATATAACTTCCTCACCGTCTGTTTTTTTTTCTGGCTGATTTATTATTAACTGTACCCTCTTCAAGTTGAAATCTTACCTGTAATCTCATTGGCTGACCTCTGGCTTGTACCCTCTTTCACTCGACTTTCAATCAGACCAATGAACTTTACTCTTTGACTCCTGAACTACACTATCTTTAACCTCTACCACTTGACCTGTCAGCCCTTTGTCCCCCTTTGTTCATTACAAGTAATAATAATAATAAACTTTATTTTATAATGGTAACAATAGTAAGCAAGGAAACCTTTTTTTTTACATTTTCTGTTTTAAAAAAAATGTATCAACATGTATAAAGTTTCAATCAAATTTTATAATCTTTCTAGTAAAATAGGATTTAAAAATTTGGATTAAAGAAATAATATTTACATAGTTATATTACATAGTGGAACAGAATGAGAATAGATTAGATGAATTATGAACAAAGTGTAGCCCATTTACCTTGATCCCCTCCCACATAGTTATATTACATAGTGGAACAGAATGAGAATAGATTAGATGAATGATGAACAAAGTGTATCCCTGTTATGTGGATCCCCTCCCACATAGTTATATTACATAGTGGAACAGAATGAGAATAGATTAGATGAATGATGAACAAAGTGTAGTCCTGTTATGTGGATCCCCTCCCACATAGTTATATTACATAGTGGAACAGAATGAGAATAGATTAGATGAATGATGAACAAACTGTAGCCCTGTTATGTGGATCCCCTCCCACATAGTTATATTACATAGTGGAACAGAATGAGAATAGATTAGATGAATGATGAACAAAGTGTAGCCCTGTTATGTGGATCCCCTCCCCAGATGCGTAGAGACCTGCTCCACTGGGACAGCGCCCTACAGCTGGCCAAAGCCCTGGCCCCCGAGCAGATCCCCTACATCTCCAGGGAGTACGCTCAGCAGCTGGAGTTCACAGGGGACTACATCAACGCCTTGTCCCACTACGAGAAGGGGATCACCAAAAATGAAGCGGAGCGCGACCACGATGAAGTCTGTGCTGCTGGTATAGCCCGCATGTCTATAAGGGTGGGGGATATCAGAAGGTGAGCAGTGGTTCCTCAAGTATTTTGTTGACATTTTGCCACTATTTAGATCTAAACACTTCTCATTGATTTAATTGTAAATATAAACTTTTTAAAAATATGTAAAAAAGAACAAGTCATCTTCTTTTTTAAATTATATATTATCATAATAATAGTTATTATTGAATGGTCATCATTTGATGTACAGTAAATTTTAGTTTTTTTTTAAAGCTACTTCTGAATTTCAACTTCTTCACTTTGCATTGTAAAGGGCTTGTCTGTACCTATCCTACTCAATGACTTCATTTTATTCACAGAGGTGTCTCCATGGCAACCAAGATGCCCAGCAAGATTTTAAAGAAGGAATGTGCTGGCATTTTGGAAAGCATGAAGGTATTGTGACTTGAAAGTGACTTTATATTTTTTTTTCTTATTGCAATTTGTTTCATTATCAATTTTGTGTGTGTTTTTAATCAAACCTAATAAATATAAACATGCCTGACCTACCATGTCTGACTGCTATCCCTCCTCCCCCCCACCAGCAATGGTCTGATGCGGCTGTGCTGTATGAACAAGGACAGTACTATGACAAGGCTGCCTCGGTGTACATCCGTGGCAAGAACTGGTAGGTGACACGCCCCTTTTTACCTTTACCTCTCTGATTGAGAAACTTTTACCCCTGTGGGTCCATGTTTAGGGACAAACATCAACTAAACCTTTAAATCGAACGGACCCCCCCCCCCCCAATCTAATAAAACCCTCTCCAATTTAATGAAACCCCCCCAATCTTTTCCCCTTGTGGGTCCGTGTTTAGTGACAAACATCAACTAAACCTTACCATCTAACCAATCCCCACCCCATCATCTAAGGAAATTACCTCCAAAGTTAACATAAACAAAAACTTAACTAAAACTTTTAAAGCTATGAAACCCCTTACAAAGTTAACACATGAAAACTCTTCCTAAGTTGACTAAAGCGTCCAAAGTTAATACACAAAAAAAAGTCCTAAGTTAGATAAAACTTTTAAAGCTATACACCCAATTACAAAGTTATAAATAAAAACCTCCCTGAAGTTAACTAAAGCTTCCAAAGTTAATATACAAAAAAAGCCCTAAGTTTAAAAAAACTTAAACAAAGCTACCAAAAGCACCTTGCAAGTAGACTTAACCCTCCATACTTTAAAACTAGTGTGTACGTCCACCTACTGGGGAGTGCATGAACTGACACACAGAACATACTTTTTCAGGTCAAAGGTCGGAGAGCTACTGAACAAGATCACATCACCCAAAATCCACGCCCAGTACGCTAAAGCTAAAGAAGCAGACGGCAGGTACAAAGAGGCTGCCGAGGCTTATAAGCTGGCCAAGGAATGGGATAATGTTATAAGGTATGTGGTGATACAGGATAAGTAATGGGATAATGTTATAAGGTATGTGGTGACACAGGATAAGTAATGGGATAATGTTATAAGGTATGTGGTGACACAGGCTAAGGAAAGGGATAATGTTATAAGGTATGTGGTGATACAATCTAAGGAATGGGATAATGTTATAAGGTATGTGGTGATACAGGCTAAGGAATAGGATAATGTTGTAAGGTATGTGGTGATACAGGCTAAGGAATAGGATAATGTTGTAAGGTATGTGGTGACACAGGCTAAGGAATGAGGAATAATGTTATAAGGTATGTGGTGATACAATCTAAGGAATGGGATAATGTTATAAGGTATGTGGTGATACAGGATAAGTAATGGGATAATGTTATAAGGTATGTGGTGATACAGGATAAGGAATGGGACAATGTTATAAGGTATGTGGTGACACAGTTTAAGGAATGGTATAATGTTATAAGGTATGTGGTGATACAATGTAAGGAATCTGATAATGTTAAAAGGTAAGTGGTGATACAGGATTAGGAATGGGATAATGTTATAAGGTATGTGGTGATACAATCTAAAGAAAGGGATAATGTTATAAGGTATGTGGTGACACAATCTAACCTAAGACTACTAGACCACCGTTACCCTTAGGATAACTGTGATCTAACCCCTGTTTGGCAATTTTATCTTACCCCCTTCCTTTCCCCACTCTCACACTTTGTCGCAAAAAGCCAGACCCCCACATCTAAAAATATGTCACACTTCACCAAACATGTTTTTTGTCTTTTAAAAACATCAATTTCTTTATTTTCTGAGCTCGCACCTCATATGAATAACAAATGAATAAATTATTAAAGCTAACGTCAAACTAATAATAATGAATTAAAACTCTCTTCACCATATAGTAAAATTACAATAAATATTATTTTAAATTAAATTATATCTGCCTCCTAATAAAATTACTCAATTGCTATGATACAAATATTTATATGAAATATATAAAGCCTGAAATAGTTTAGTAAATATATTGTCTTTTTATACTTGTTTCTATTAATTAATTAATTTTGCTTTGGCTTAGATTCTAGATCTACTTGATCTAGATCCACTAGAACTAAAAATGGCTTAAATCTAGTTTGATCTTGATGATTTCATCGTATTCTTGAATTAGATGATCTGTGAAGCGTATCCTATTAAAAATTGATTACAGTATTAGAACCTAATAAAAATAACAAGCACACATCAGCAAAGGTACATATATATATATATATATATTTATATATATATATATATATATATATATATATATATATATATATATATATATATATATATATATATATATATATAAATATATATATATATATATATATATATATATATATATATATATATGTCTGTGTATATATATGCATATATGTATATATGTATGTATATATGTATATATGAATATATGTATATATATATATATATATATATATATATATATATATATATATATATATATATATATATATATATATATATATATATATATATATGGTTCCATGACAAATGATCTCAGGACAAATGATCTCAGACAAAATATCTCAGACAAAATATCTCACGGACAAATGATCTCAGGACAAATGATCTCAGGACAAATGATCTCAAGGACAAATGATCTCAAGGACAAAAGATACCAGGACAAAATATATCAGGACAAATGATATCATGGACAATTGATCTCAGACAAAATATCTCAGACAAAATATCTCACAGCAAAATGTTGATAGTATGTACAATGATTTTAGTTCATTTGAACTTTTTTAAAAATTGACTGCCGAGATGGTTTTGTTTACTTTCTTTACGCATCATAATTGAGAATAAAGTGAATTTGTTAAACTTTACAAAGCATCAAAAGATTTATTTAACTTAATCTTTGTAATGGCCTTTGATTTGAAAAAATCAAAATTAAAACAAACTTTCTCCTTTAGCCTGAAAGGTATGATAAATGATAATGTATGAAACAAAGTAACGGTAGCTATACAACAATAATGTTTAAAACATGCGAAATATCTTTAAAAAATGTTAATGGGTCTTCAGGTTCGTAACGTAAAATTATTGTTTTTATTGCATGATCAACACAAACATAACGTTTACGTTTCTTTGCTGACAGTACATCGTTATGATCACACCTCTCCAATACTATGTCATCATGTATTGTATTGTGTGAACTCTTGCTCGACATGTTCTAACTCCGCGATGACCACTGTTTGTCTTAAATAAGCATTAGTCACCTGATCACTAAGGTGTGACAGACGCATAACTATTGAATTTAGCTATTAGTTGTATTGTTCGTGGAGGGCGGATGTCTTTCCCTTAAGGTATGTCTCTACCACCAAAGCGGGCTGCCACCTTGTACGAAGGTGTGTCTTTATTGTTATTTCATCCTCTTTGATCTAGTTTCGTCCACCTGACATGGTTGGATTGTCTCATGTTTGGCAAGCCCGCCTACGCTGTCTATCGAACAATTTCTTTAATCTTCTATAGTAATAATCCTAATTTTAAAATGCAATATACAATTTTAAAAGTGCAATATGATAAATTTATACGGCAAACATTTCTTACAATTATCATATGGGCCTATAAACAATATTAAACATATTAAACAAAACCATACGACAGTTAATAAAAATTGTTCAGATCACTAAAGTCACCCAATACTCTATTATAATTTAGGTGTGAGATATTTTGTCTGAGATATTTTGTCTGAGATCAATTGTCCGTGGTATCATTTGTCCTGATATATTTTGTCCTGGTATCTTTTGTCCGTGAGATCATTTGTCCTTGAGATCATTTGTCCTGAGATCATTTGTCCTGAGATCATTTGTCCGTGAGATATTTTGTCTGAGATATTTTGTCTGAGATCATTTGTCCTGAGATCATTTGTCCTGTCACCATATATATATATATATATATATATATATATATATATATATATATATATATATATATATATATATATATATATATATATATATATATATATATATATATTTATATATATATATATATATATATATTTATATATATTTATATATATATATATATATATATATATATATATATATATATATATATATATATATATATATATATATATATATATATATATATATATTTATATATATATATTTTTATATATATATATATATATATATATATATATATATATTTATATATATATATATATATATATATATATATATATATATATATATATATATATATATATATATATATATATATGATTGTATGTATGTATGTATAGATATATGATATACATGTATGTATGTATCATTAAAATAAGTATTATAAATTTTTGTATAACATTTTGAGGGAAAAAACATCGTTCTCTTCATGAATACATAATATATTACATTACCGATGTAGTGCAGATGCTCCCGTGTAACCAAACAGACAAACGAAAAAACAAACTAAAAAATAAATATACAAACTTGTAAACAAACTTGAGTTGTAGTGGAATATAGATAGATTTCGTACTGTGGCTAATAAATCTTGAATTTAAAATACCAAAGGGAGACAACCAAACACTATGTTGCCAAACAACTTTAACAATTGAAAGAAGTTTATTAGTTAAAAAATTTTAAGTTTACATAATTGTTTATCATATTACTAAGTATGAATATTTCAAACCTTCTATAACTTTTTATCTATCCTTTATATTCCTTTTATTTAAAAAATAACATTTTAAATTGAAAACTATTAGCTTTACTAAATGTTTCATTTGATGAAATTTGATAATTTCATTTAAACAGCGATTATGGAACATGCTAACAGGGTTAGTCCATCTGCTTATGTATTTTAATTTTAATAACACCAAAACCTATGGAAAATTGCTTAAAATGTTGCAGAAGTCAAATTTATTAGTTTGCTTTCCTTAAATCTGTGCATTTTATTATTTACAAAACAACCCCACATAATGCAATGGTACAACTCAATATGCTTAACATTGATCCAAAATATCATCCACATTTTTATTGCTGACGATTTATATATAGCGGTACAAGTTGTTACTCTAAGGACAAGGTGGGCCATTACGTTTGACATCTAAGCCTAACCAGGCGACTCACCTGACACCCCAGGGGTAGTGTAACATGTGACACCACCACAAGGGGCGTCAGGTGCCCCCAGAAAACACTTTGCTGTGCCTCCGACACCTGGGCTGTTGGCGAGGGGTGTCTTACCTCCCCATTACGGGTGATGATTAACGTACATACAAGGCTTTCATACAGCACATGTGGACAAACCCACACCCCAACAAATAAGATCCAATTTGAATGCTGGCTTTACTTACACTTAAATAACTCAGTTTTAGAAAACAAGGTCACACATCTAAAAAAAAAACATGATTAGTAATACGTTAATGAAACCCTTATAAAATATTTCGGCACTCTGGTTTGAAGGACTAGATTGTAGCAATGCTTCCTAGTGTGTGTGTGTGTGTGTGTGTATATATATATATATATATATATATATATATATATATATATATATATATATATATATATATATATATATATATATATAAATATACATGACACACATTAACCCAACATTAATGTGTGTCATGTTAGGGAATTTCACGCTCATGTTTAATGTTACCATGTCAGCAGTTTTTGCTTCTAGCATGTACAAGCTGTAGTATATTGTCATCTGTTTTGTTTTGGTCCCAGGATAAATTTAGATCACCTTCAGAACCCAGAGGAGGCTGTGAAAATTGTCAGGGAGACCCAGTCAGTGGAGGGAGCCAAGATGGTTGCCAAGTAGGATTTTGTCATGTTTTGTTTGTAATTTACAAAAAATCTCATTTCATTGATTTTTTTGTAAGTAGGATTTTGTCATGTTTTGTTTTGTAATTTACAAAATATCTCATTTCATTGATTTTTTTTTTAGAAGGATCTTAATACTTTCAATTTTTTTATTTAAGAAGAATCCTATTACTTTCTTTTTTTTCAAGATTGTTCTTCTTATTATTTTTTTATTCTCATTTTCTAAAAAGAGTTCTGAGTGTTGAGTGTTAATATTATTTTAATGTAACTTACAGATTAAACTGTAACAAATGTGCAAGCTGAAATAAAAATATTTCAGATTTTTTCAACGTTTGAATGATTACGGGTCAGCCATTCAATTCCTCGTCATGTCTCACTGCAACGATGAAGCTTTTCAGTTGGCTCAACAACATCGACAGATGGAGATATATGCTGATATCATTGGTAGGTTGGTGGTGGGAGGGGGGAATGACAGATGGAGATATATGCTGATATCATTGGTAGGTTGGTGGTGGGAGTGGGGAATGACAGATGAAGATATATGCTGATATTGGTAGGTTGGTGGGGTGGTCATTAACAGATGGAGGTGGTGGGGCAGGGGGGGGGGGGGCTTTAATGATATAGATATATGCTGATATCATTGGTAGGTTGGTGGGGGGGAGGAGTGACAGATAGAGATATGTGCTTATATCATTGGTAGGTTGGTTGAGGTTTTCACTGGCCATATGTCAAAATAATGTATAGGTTTATTTGAGGTTTAGTTCATTAGCAGGTTGATGTAGGGGTATTTGCAGTAGTCATCATAGGCTCTTGTCGGAGTGTAACTTTTTGGTCTGGTTAGTTGAAACTTCATTTTGTTTTACTTGTTTTTTTTATAATGATAGTCTTGTTTAGTTCTTAATGTTTCTCTACAGGTGCTGATGCCACTGTTGAAGACTACCACAGTATCGCAGTATTCTTTGAGGCTGAGAAGAATCATTTTATGGCCGGGAAATTCTTTTTGTTGAGTGGACAATACACCAAGGTTGGTCTAATGATGGAATCAATATGAACGCTGTCTGGTCAATAATTCTTGTCTTGCTATTTTGTCTTTTAATTTTCTAACAAATAAATTTTATTTTAATCTATCCCTAATAGCTTTCTATCAAATAATGTCTCTATTTGTCATTATCCAAACAAAATAACTATTGTTATTTTAACTTTTCCTCACAGTTTTCTTACAAATAGCTTTTGTTATTATCATCTTCTTTTGTTTTCTTAACAAAAATCCTGTTTTTTTTTTTTTAACTTTTCTCGATAGATTTATATAAAATAATTTTTTTTAAATCTTTTTCTGATAGTTTTATAACAAATAAATGTTATTTTTACCTTTCTCTGATAGTTTTATAACTAAAATGTCTGTTCCAGGCCATGAAACATTTTCTCAAATGTAACCCTGAGGATGGCCAGGCCATTGAACTGGCCATTGAAACTGTTGGCCGAGCTAATGACGACATACTGACCAAACAGCTGGTTGATTTTCTTATGGGAGATGTGGATGGCACCCCTAAGGTAAATTTTATGCTGGGGGTGTGGTAATCACATCTAATTTCATTTTCTTTGTATGGGAGATATGAATGGCACCACTAGGGTAAATTTTATGCTGGGGGTGTGGTAGTCACACCAAAGATATTTATTGTTATGGGAGATGTGAAAGGCACCCAGAAGGTAAATTTTGCTACAGAAGTCATAATTAACATTAAAAAAAAGAAATAATTATTAAATACAATAAACTTAATTATCACAAATCTTTACATTAGTTAGAATTCATCATTTTTATTAAACACAAAAAAACTATAAGGGAAACAATATTTTTATTACATCTACAGGATGATAATTATTGTTATCACCTTTAGGATACTAAATATTTGTTCATAATTTCATCACTAAGTTTTAAACTTTCCCTTTCAAACCTGACGGTCTATGGGGTAAGTGAAGTGGAGTTCACTTGTTTCTGTGACCTCGGCATATGAAGAGATAGTGTGGTCAGCACTATGCCCAGCCGCCTTTACTCTCCCAAACGTGAGTTAGGTACCCATCAGAGTTGGGTGGACTCAGGGATGGTATACTGACTTGCACCCGGATTTGAACTCGAGACTTACGGGTTAGCAGTCCAGCTCTCTACCACTAGACCACTCCGTCCCATAATTTCATCACTAGGATGCTAAATATTTGTTCATAATTTCATCACTAGGATGAAAAATATTAGTTCATATTTTCATCATTAGGATGCTAAATATTTGTTCATAATTTCATCATTAGGATGCTTAATATTTGTTCATAATTTCATCACTAGAATGCTAAATATTTGTTCATAATTTCATCACCAGGATGCTAAATATTTGTTCATATTCCCATCACCAGGATGCTAAATATTTGTTCATATTCCCATCACCAGGATGCTAAATATTTGTTCATATTCCCATCACCAGGATGCTAAATATTTGTTCATATTCCCATCACCAGGATGCTAAATATTTGTTCATATTCCCATCACCAGGATGCTAAATATTTGTTCATATTCCCATCACCAGGATGCTAAATATTTGTTCATATTCCCATCACCAGGATGGTAAATATTTGTTCATATTCCCATCACCAGGATGCTAAATATTTGTTCATATTCCCATCACCAGGATGCTAAATATTTGTTCATATTCCCATCACCAGGATGCTAAATATTTGTTCATATTCCCATCACCAGGATGCTAAATATTTGTTCATATTCCCATCACCAGGATGCTAAATATTTGTTCATATTCCCATCACCAGGATGCTAAATATTTGTTCATATTCCCATCACCAGGATGCTAAATATTTGTTCATATTCTAATCACTAGGATGCTAAATATTTGTTCATATTCCCATCACCAGGATGCTAAATATTTGTTCATATTCCCATCACCAGGATGCTAAATATTTGTTCATATTCCCATCACCAGGATGCTAAATATTTGTTCATATTCCCATCACCAGGATGCTAAATATTTGTTTATGTTCCCATCACTAGGATGCTAAATATTTGTTCATATTCCCATCACCAGGATGCTTAATATTTGTTCATGTTCCCATCACTAGGATGCTAAATATTTGTTCATATTCCCATCACCAGGATGCTAAATATTTGTTCATATTCCCATCACCAGGATGCTAAATATTTGTTCATATTCCCATCACCAGGATGCTAAATATTTGTTCATATTCCCATCACCAGGATGCTAAATATTTGTTCATATTCCCATCACCAGGATGCTAAATATTTGTTCATATTCCCATCACCAGGATGCTAAATATTTGTTCATATTCCCATCACCAGGATGCTAAATATTTGTTCATATTCCCATCACCAGGATGCTAAATATTTGTTCATGTTCCCATCACCAGGATGCTAAATATTTGTTCATATTCCCATCACCAGGATGCTAAATATTTGTTCATGTTCCCATCACTAGGATGCTAAATATCTGTTCATATTCCCATCACCAGGATGCTAAATATTTGTTCATATTCCCATCACCAGGATGCTAAATATTTGTTCATATTCCCATCACCAGGATGCTAAATATTTGTTCATATTCCCATCACCAGGATGCTAAATATTTGTTCATATTCCCATCACCAGGATGCTAAATATTTGTTCATATTCCCATCACCAGGATGCTAAATATTTGTTCATATTCCCATCACCAGGATGCTAAATATTTGTTCATATTCCCATCACCAGGATGCTAAATATTTGTTCATATTCCCATCACCAGGATGCTAAATATTTGTTCATATTCCCATCACCAGGATGCTAAATATTTGTTCATATTCCCATCACCAGGATGCTAAATATTTGTTCATATTCCCATCACCAGGATGGTAAATATTTGTTCATATTCCCATCACCAGGATGCTAAATATTTGTTCATATTCTAATCACTAGGATGCTAAATATTTGTTCATATTCCCATCACCAGGATGCTAAATATTTGTTCATATTCCCATCACCAGGATGCTAAATATTTGTTCATAATTTCATCACCAGGATGCTAAATATTTGTTCCGACTGTACATGGCCTTGAAGAAGTACGGTGAGGCAGCAAGAACAGCCATTATCATAGCTAGGGAGGAGCAGAATGCTGGTAAATCTTCTAGCCTTGTTCTGTGTGGGCTGTACAATAGGTGCTATCATTCTAACATTGTGTTCACGCTGTTAATTTGCTTACACTACAATTCATTTAAAAACTTGGATTAGATTAACTAGCCCACTAATGAGCCGACCCGCAGCGTTTCATACGCTGCTATTTAGGTTATTTTATTTTCTACTTTTCAGTAATTCATAGTTTGTGAATTCGACAGTACCAATGCTGCCACCGAATATATTTGCTTTAAAACAGTATCAGTAGCTTGTTAAGGATGATAACACCCCCCCTCCTTACCCCTACCCCTCCCCCCCTGAAAGCAGCCTCCTCTTAGTTACTTCCCCTAAGTTTAAAATCATTTCAAACTAAATTATCTGCCCCTAATAGCCGTCACTAAACCCGGCTCTATGATTGTAAACATTTAGCGTGAACCACAGCTCACCATACCATGTAGGAGTGGGGGTGGTAGGGAGCGCGCTTACAGCTTGTTTTCTAACGTCTCCAAGAAGAGAATTATATATATATAGATCTTAATGAGCCTACCAGACTATATTCATTAAAAATTTCAGAAAATGTATGAGTCTGTCACACTACACTCATTAAAGCTTTGTTAAGAACATTAATGAATGAACTAGCCACTGTGGTGTTTATATTTAGGCAACTACCGCAATGCTCATGATGTTTATATTTCAGGCAACTACCGCAATGCTCATGATGTTTATATTTCAGGCAACTACCGCAATGCTCATGATGTTTATATTTCAGGCAACTACCGCAATGCTCATGATGATTATATTTCAGGCAACTACCGCAATGCTCATGATGTTTATATTTCAGGCAACTACCGCAATGCTCATGATGTTTATATTTCAGGCAACTACCGCAATGCTCATGATGTTTATATTTCAGGCAACTACCGCAATGCTCATGATGTTTTGTTCAGCATGTTCCAGGAGCTCAAAGAAAACAAAATCAAAATTCCTTCAGAGATGGCGTCAAACTTGATGATTTTACACAGCTATATACTGGTCAAGGTAAGAATTAGCTGTAATTTGGTCAATGATAGGTCAATTAAATTCTGTCTTATAACTCATACTAAAACTCATACTAATCTAGATAATATCAGTTATACATTGGCCATTGCATGATGCAAAATGTTTTATTATTTGCAAGTTACAAATGATTGTTAAACTGGAAATATTTAACAAAACTAGGATCTTGTATTTCTCAATATTTAGTGTAAGTACAGTAACTTCACATTTTTACCCAACTCACATGATAAGCCATAACAGGAAATGACCTTAGTAAAGTTTGGACCACTTCTCTCACCAGATCCATGTTAAAAAAGGTGACCATCTTAAAGGAGCCAGGATGTTGATCCGGGTTGCCAACAACATCAGCAAATTTCCTTCTCGTAAGTTCTTTCAATTTGTTGCCAACAACATCAGCAAATTAAATTTCCTTCTCGTAAGTTCTTTCAATTTGTTGCCAACAACTTCAGCAAATTTCCTTCTCGTAAGTTCTTTCAATTTGTTTCACCAGTTTTTCATTTGATCTGACTGGTCATGGTGATGTTAAGAAGAATAGGCTAGGCCAGTATGGTCAAATTCAAGATGTGAATTAAATCACTTATTTTCTTTTTCCTTTAACTTAAATCTGTATACATTCTATACATATGAGTAATTCAACAATAAGATAAGTAGTTTCATTCTGGGTTTTTTTTTTCACAACTATTCTAACTTTATAATCATACAACTATTCCTATTTTATTATATTACTGTACTGACTCTGTTACTATGTAACATTATTTTTATTTTATGTGCTGCTACTTTTTTCTGTTATTTCCTTATAATGATTTATTTATTACTATTTAATTTTTATTAGTATTTTTATTGAAAATTATTCTTATAAAAAGTTTGTTATACTTTTACTTGCACCAGTTATTTCAGGAAGTGATATTCAGAGCTTATTCATGTAATTTAAAATCACCAATGTGACTTGAAAACAATGTTAACTCTCTTCCTCCCCAGATATTGTTCCATTATTAACCCCATAATATTAACTCTTTTCCTCCCCAGATATTGTTCCAATATTAACCCCATAATATTAACTCTTTTCCTCCCCAGATATAGTTCCTATATTAACCTCCACTGTCATAGAGTGCCATAGGGCAGGCTTGAAGAACTCCTCCTTCAGCTACGCGGCCATGCTGATGAGGCCTGAGTACAGAAACGACATTGACGTCAAGTACAAGCGCAAGATTGAAATGATTGTCAGGAAGCCCGAGAGAACAGAGGAGGAAGAACCTTTGACCCCTTGCCCTTTCTGCGGCTTCCAGATACCCGAGACTGAGCTCTTGTGTCCTGATTGTAAAAACAACATTCCCTACTGTATAATCACTGTGAGTTGTCTTTTCCTACTCTATAATCACTGTGAGTTGTCTTTTCCTACTGTATAATCACTGTGAGTTGTCTTTTCCTACTGTCTATTCACTGTGTGTGGTCTTTCCCTACTGTATAATCACTGTGAGTTGTCTTTTCCTACTGTATAATCACTGTGAGTTGTCTTTTCCTACTGTCTATTCACTGTGTGTGGTCTTTCCCTACTGTATAATCACTGTGAGTTGTCTTTTCCTACTGTATAATCACTGTGAGTTGTCTTTTCCTACTGTATAATCACTGTGAGTTGTCTTTTCCTACTGTATAATCACTGTGAGTTGTCTTTTCCTACTGAATAATCACTCAGACTTTTACTTCTTGTTCTTATTTTTTTTAAATATGACATAAATTTCCCAGTGAATTGTTGTGTAATAAACACACCAGCAAAGTTTATAAAATATTCAAGATGATATTTTGGGGGAAAAGATGGGGAAGGAATTTTAACTTTGGTGTGTATTGAATTTATATACCGATAAAATACATTTCTTTTTTAAAATAAATTTTTAACATCTCATTTGTAACCTCAGGGTCGCCATGTTTTGAAAGATGACTTCACTGCCTGCCCTAACTGTGACTTCCCTGCCATCTATACAGAATTCCTTAAGTAAGTTTTATAAGTCTGTCTATAGCCTAATTTAATTCCTTAAGTAAGTTTTACAAGGCTGTCTATAGCCTAATTTAATTTCTTAAGTAAGTTTTTCAAGTCTGTCTATAGCCTAATTTAATTCCTGAAGTAAGTCTTACAAGTCTAGCCTATAGCCTTATTTAATTCCTTAAGTAAGTTTTACAAGGCTGTCTATAGCTTAATTTTCTTAAACCACTTTGTTCATACACTTTGCATATAAATTTCCCTCAACTCTCCTAGCATAACCAAACCCCTTATAGTTTTATTATATATTCAATCTCACTCATATGGTTACAATCTCTGCAATAGTCATTGAATATTCTTTCACTGGCAATTATTCCCAAGTTTTTCTGTGATATAAGTTATCTTTTTTTTTCTTACTTTTTCTATTGAGGTTAAAAAAAAGTGTGTAATACCCGCTAGAGTTGACATTGGCGGGTCACGTCGAGTCCCTTTGTTTTTGTGACTTGAACAAAGTGGTATTGTGTGACAGCACCATGCCCAACTACTTGTCATTCCCCGACTTAGCCAGAGTCTCATCTGAGCTGGGTAGAGATGGGCAAACTTGAGCAATGCACTTACAAGTTCACCAGTGCATGCTAAACGAGTTGACACCACAACCCAATAAAAATATTTAGTCTTTGTTGTATATGACATCAGGCATTCCCCCATTAATTTTTGTTTAATATCAACATACTTATTGCTTTAACCCAATGTCTCAGTCTCAGTGCTGTAGATGAGTACTGATAATTATAGAGGTTCAATGACCAGAGAGCTAAAAATAGACTTGACCGTTGTTTCAGGATGTGTGAGACAGAAGAGACCTGCCCCATGTGCAGTGAAAAGGTCAGTCAGGAGAAGATCCAGAAGGTCATTGACCCACACAAGTACATGTTTCCTGAGTCAGATACACTGAAAGAAGAGCCCTAATTACAGACACGAAGTAGAGCACTAATCAATTACAGACAATTACAATTAGAGGAGATCCCTAATTACAGACACTGAAAATTCTGGATGTCATCAATATCTTATTTATAAAACTCGTACTAATTTTTTTTTTTTTTCAAAAAATTGTAGTTCATGTTTTTATATTCACCACACATTGAATCCATCCTGCCTATGATCAAGTGCCCTTCATCAGAAGAACAAATGAATAAGATTTATTTTACCTTATTCCCATCAACATTTAGGCGACATTTTAAGTTGCCAAATAGATCTCATAAACGTTTAAGTAAAAACACCAATCAGACATTTCAGTAAGATTATATGTTTAAAGCTTCTGTGATAAATCATTTTATTGTTTCATTCAAGTCCCAGGATGATTGTCATGTTTAAATTTGACATTTATTTACCACTTGGGCATGTTTATTTATTTTATTCATTAATTGTCAGAGAATCCCTCCAGCAAATGTAAGCATATAAACCAAGATATCGGCCATGTTTGTGAAAGAAAATATTTTAATGTTTTGTACAAGTGGAACATGTTTTGCAGCGCACACTTTTTCTATTTTGTAATTTTTTGTTGCAGAAATAAAATATTTCACACCGTAAGAAAACCAAAAAGTTTGTCATTTTTATTTTTTTTTATTTGTCATTAGTAGCATATTCTATAGAAAACTTAATTTAAAAACTTTTTTTCCTGCTTTGTAGACAAAATTAGCAGTGAAAAACTGCAAGGTTTTTCATTGGTTGTATAGTACCAACAATAATGTGACAATCATTGTGATTGGTCAAGTGATAAAATGACAACAGATCTGTTTGCAGGATTTCTTTTTATAGCTTTCAACATGCAATAATTGTTATACTCAATAACCAGATCATTTTATCAACAAAAAAAACAACTATTACAGTATCTATAACTTGACCATTGCGACAAAATAATCCACTCATTAAAAAATAATCTGGACGGAACAGTTATAACAAAAAAAGTGCAAATTAACATTATAAGGCTTACACTGAAAGACAGTTTGAAAAAGTTAAGTACTCAAAACATCAAAAAAGACTACATACTTAAGTTCCACTATACCATCAACACAAAATTACAAGTTCTATTTGTTAACACTATTACTTAATTAGTTAATCAGCGTTCTTCTTTACTACCTTAATTCATTTTTCTTAATTTGTAAAAAGTATTTTTCTTTTCATATTTATTAGTTTCATCTAATCTCTTAATATCCTATTTAAGCATTAAAAAAACTGAAACATACAAGTAAAAGTGACATATTACAACAAGGGCCAGTAGCCCAACCAGAGCAGCAGATGAAATTATATCACAACAAAATAAAACACTTAACATGTTAAATTGGTGATCTAACAGTGCTGATTATGACATCCATTTGTAATTATAGCTAACAGATATCTTTTTAAAAAAATATCTCTTTACTATTTTACTATCTATTGTAAAAGTGCATTGAAAAAAAATAAATGCATTGCAATTATGAAATTCTTAAACCATTTGGAAAATTCCTCAATCACTGCTCTTAAACTACAGTAGAAATGAATAATGACATGAACCCTCAATACAACCAAGATATATATTTTATTGCATACATGTAATACTGTAAGGGCTGACCTTACTTAAAAACTAATGTTTGTAGTTTTCATAGGCCTACATGTCACAATATAAGTCTACGTCATCACCTGGTGTACAAAATTGTAAGTCAGTTTAATAATGATCCTTAAAAAATCTAAAAGATTGCATAATTGTCCGAATCACAGTCCAACATTTGTCATGATGGACACACAAATTTTGACCTTTAGCAAAAACTGTTTGGAATGTCCAGTTGTCCAGCACAGGAATGATGTAGAAATGACGTACATTAGCAGATGTTAACATTTAGAAACATGGCGTCATCCCATGTCTGAGACCAACAGTTTTTCTAGCATCTCCAAGTCATGGAACAGCCTCTAGTTATCTGAAACACATTTTATTTTATTTTTTTAGTAAATTCCAAAGTTTATTCAAATAAATATATACATTTTGGAAAAAGGCCTATTAATGTTAATAAAAATGAAAATTTAATTTCCAAATTTTCTGCACACAATGTTGTTTTCACTTTTTTGGAAGATGCCCATGTTACACTGGTGCTTGTGGAACTACAAGCACCTACCTTTATGGTTATCCTCTAAACTAACTGATATCTTTGTTTGTTTGGTTAATCAATACAAACAATTTTGATTTTGTAAATTTGTGAGATAAGTAATTTTAGGATTTCAGATATACCTATGGCCATCAGATGCAATTCTAGCCAGTTGATGTAATTCTGGCCATCAGATGTATTTAAGGCCATGAGATGTACTTAAGGTCATAAGAAGAAATTCTGGCCATTAGATGTCATTCTAGCCATCAGAAGTACTTGATGCCACCAATACTACAATCAAACACTTGCCTTCATTGAATGCTATATCAGCCATGACTAGCTGAAAAATCTTTGGGAACAATTGTTCCTTGGACGGTCCCAGGATTTCTATAGCAATGTTGGAGCCTTGCCCCAGGGTGCCACTGTCATCTTCCTGCATTTTCTGACAACAAAGAGAAGAATGTTTACAGTATTTTCATGTCATAAAAACAAAGAGAAGAATGTTTACAGTATTTTCATGTCATAAAAACAAAGAGAAGAATGTTTACAGTATTTTCATGTCATAAAAACAAAGAGAAGAATGTTTACAGTATTTTCATGTCATAAAAAAAAAGAGAAGAATGTTTACAGTATTTTCATATCATAAAAACAAAGAGAAGAATGTTGACAGTATTTTCATGTGTTAAAAACAAAGAGAAGAAGGTTTACAGCATTTTCATGTCATAAAAACAAAGAGAAGAATGTTTACAGTATTTTTATATCACAAAAACAAAGAGAAGAATGTTGACATTATTTTCATTTGTTAAATAACTTTTTCACATGAAAAAATACACACACAAGTTAAAAGTGAGTTTTATGTAGATTTGACAGCAAAGTATTAATCAATATTTGTTAACTTTTTACTGTTGACAGTTGTAATAAGTAAATACAAGACAATGTTAGCCTTTAAAATAATGGCTAGATCAGGCTGATCAGTCCAAAGATGCTTTTAAACTCAAAATAAAAAGTATAGTTGCAAAGGGATTTTAACATTCATTTCCTATTGAGGCTAAAAAAACAACACTGGTCTCAATGTGAAGATTTACCTTGATGATTTCATAAACTTGGACCAGCTTTTCTAAACCAATGTCAGATTCCAGCTCAGCACGTAACTGCTCAACTCTTCCAAAACGGTCGTTGTCCTTCTCCTCATCGTCATCACCAAATGTTGTGTCATCGTCACTGTCATCTACCAAGTGGACAAAATTTTTTTTTTTTAAATAACATTAATTTATCCTGTTATGTTATCACAACAAGATTTAGCAACAATATATAGAAAGATCTGTTGAAAACAGAAGTCATATAACCAAGATAGAATCAGGACAGTAAAGACAGCAATGTCATATACATATTTTAAAGAAAATAATTAGCAAAGACATAAATCCGGGTTCAAATCAGTAAAACAACCCTGAGTCCACCCAGCTCTAATGGACATCTAACTTATGGTAGTGAAACAAAGGCGACTGGGCATAGTGCAGACCACATTATCCACCTTTATGCCGAGGTCATTGAAACAGATGAACTCTACTTCTGCCGCATGTGTCTTTGGTACAAACAGGAAAAGGTGATGAAAGACATAAATAATATAACAAAACAGTAGAAAAACATCCTGAAAAGTATACAACACTACAAAGAAAACAAAATTAGAATAATTAATAGCAGTATTATATGATTTAAAAAAAATGAAAACATTACAATGAATTAGCAGTAAAAAAAAAAAAGCAACACCATAACAAAGTTGTTGAGGATCTTACCACTACCCAGAGCCAAAGCTTCTTCCAACTTTTCCCTTTCTGCGTCACAGTTATCTTCATCAGAAACATTCTCAGAGTTATCCTTTGCTGGTCTGCAGGCATCTGTCATGTCCCCAGCCTCTGAGATCTGTATGCTGACTTTGGTCTTTTCTTTATCTTCAAACAGTGGAGAGCAAGACAGAATTAAACAGATGGTTTGGTAGAGAATTTAAACTTTACAATTAGATTTATTTGTTTAACAAAAAAGAAAGTTTATTCTTAATTGAACATCCCACCATATTCAATGTGTGATATCTTCATAGAGATAAGACTATATTGTTTCCAGAAAACTATATAACTAAACATAATTTATTATAATGTTGCATCCTACAACCATTACAAAATCTACACAACTACCTACAAACACAGCCTAGGCTACATGGCTACCTACAGACAAGACTTTAGCTACATGGCTACCTACAGACAAGACTTTAGCTACATGGCTACCTACAAACAAGACTTTAGCTACATGGCTACCTACAGACAAGACTTTAGCTACATGGCTACCTACAGACAAAACTTTAGCTACATGGCTACCTACAGACAAGACTTTAGCTACATGGCTACCTACAGACAAGACTTTAGCTACATGGCTACCTACAAACAAGACTAGCTACATGGCTACCTACAAACAAGACTTTAGCTACACGGCTACCTACAGACAAGACTTTAGCTACATGGCTACCTACAAACAAAACTTTAGCTACATGGCTACCTACAGACAAGACTTACCCTCATCATCACTGTCTATGATGCTCTGTAATGTTTCCATCATACTTTTAATGTCCTCGTCATCATCTTCATCCTGGCCTGTTTCCTCATCACTAATTAAAATAAATGATGAAAAGGTTTAATTTGTCACTAATTACAATCAAGGAGTGAAAATGATAAATTTATCACTAATTACAATCAAGGAGTGAAAAGGTTTAATTTGTCACTAATTACAATCAAGGAGTGAAAATGATAAATTTATCACTAATTACAATCAAGGAGTGAAAAGGTTTAATTTGTCACTAATTACAATCAAGGAGTGAAAATGATAAATTTATCACTAATTACAATCAAGGAGTGAAAAGGTTTAATTTGTCACTAATTACAATCAAGGGGTGAAAAGGTTTAATTTGTCACTAATTACAATCAAGGAGTGAAAAGGATAAATGTGTCACTAATTACAATCAAGGAGTGAAAAGGATTAATTTGTTACAAATTACAATCAAGGAGTCAAAAGGTTTAATTTGTCACTAATTACAATCAAGGAGTGAAAAGGATTAATTTATCACTAATTACAATCAAGGAGTGAAAAGGTTTAATTTGTCACTAATTACAATCAAGGAGTGAAAAAAGACAACTATGTTCACCAAATAAAACAAATCAAATTTAAAACTCTTTCTTGAAACAACTGCCAACTGAATTTGAATCAAGTAACTCACTTGTCAAAATTTGGGATATCCTCTTCTTCAAAATCATCATCTTCACCATCATCACTGCCTTCATTCTAGAGAAAAAGCATTGTGTGAAACAAAAGGCCAGATATAAACCCAGTGTTTAGAAATTCAGATAAAGTTACATTAATAAACATTTGTAAGTAAAGGTTATGTGATAAACACAGACTTAATTCATTTTATTAGTTACAACCAAAAATTTAAAAAAAAATTAGTCGCAGTTAAAAGCAAGATTAAAGAAAGTAATTTAATATTGTAGTCGGAAAATAACTTGTATAGAAATATTTGCTTTAGGTTTGATTCAGTTTATTTTCTGGGATATATTTTAATGACAAGTTTTGATGAAAAATTTAAATATTTATGGGAAATGTTTAAATTAAATTATAATTTTACCATGTTTGGCACATGAAAGTAAGCAATAGACAGCAAAAAAAAAGGGTTGAAAACAATATCTCTTGTCATGTAAACCCATGAAAACCTATTTTGAATTTTTTGGTACTTTTTAATGACAAGACAATGCACCCATTTATCTTTTTTTTCTTACAGATTTTTAACAAGACTTGACTTGTCCATCATTTTTACCAACAAGTTTTAATGACAAAGTATGACTCCCCAACCAATTTATCATTTTTCACAAATTTCATAACAAAATTTGATGAGCTGACACAATTTGTTTTTACTATTTGTTTCAATGACAAGATTCGAAAAAGCCCCAATCAAAATGTTTAAATAGCAAAGTTAAAATAACAAATTCCACACCTCCCCTTCCCCAACACAAACGCTGTTTCTGACAAGTTTACTATGACAAAATTCAACATCTTCCCTTCCCCAACACAAACACTATTCCTGCCAAGTTTACTACGACAATCTTTGACGTGACCCACCTCTGGTACAACTGTCATGTCCAGACTGTGATGTCGCCTGAGTGTGGCGTGTTTCCCTGGGTCAATCTCCATGTCCATATTTGCTAAGTTTGTCAGGTCAGGCTCTGATATTGTCCTCAGCAGCTGTGGGTAGGGCAAGTGAGAAGTGAGACAGTGGCGAGGGGGGGGGGGGGGGAGAGTTAAAAGTGAAATATGAAACAGGTAGGTCAGGTTTAAAGTGAAACAGTTAAGTCAAGTTAAAAGTGAGACATGTGGGTCTAGTTGAAAGTGAAACTTTATCAGTTAATAAAATTAAAGGTTAGAAAATACACAGAATGAAAAATTCTTAATTACTCCTTAACATAGAGCGGAGAAGACCACCAAGGGGACATAATCATGGTGAAGAATAATCTGTAAATCTTCTAATGATTTCTGGGATCTGACATTTGGTTCAGGGACCCGACATTTGGTTCAGGTATCTGACATTTAGTTCAGAGACCTGACATTTAGTTCAAGGAACTGTCTTAGGTTCAGGGATTTGACATCAGATTCAAGGCACTGACATTTAGTTCAGGGACCTGACATTTAGTTAAGGGACCTGACATTTAGTTCAGGGACCTGACATTTAGTTAAGGGACCTGACATTTAGTTCAGGGACCTGACATTTAGTTCAGGGACCTGACATTTAGTTCAAGGACCTGACATTTAGTTCAGGGACCTGACATTTAGTTCAGGGACCTGACATTTAGTTCAGGGACCTGAGATTTAGTTCAGGGACCTGACATTTAGTTCAGGGACCTGACATTTAGTTCAGGGACCTGAGATTTAGTTCAGGGACCTGACATTTAGTTCAGGGATCTGACATTTAGTTCAGGGACCTGACATTTAGTTCAGGGACCTGACATTTAGTTCAGGGACCTGACATTTGGTTCAGGGATCTGTGTTAGGTTCAGGGATTTGACATTTGGTTCAGGGATTTGACATGAGATTCAGGGCGCTGACATTTAGTTAGGGAAACTTTCTTACCTTGACATTTTTCAGGTCAAAGTTCCCTGAGGTCAAGTTCAGCTGAACACTCTTAGCACCTTCTCTGAAAACACAATTAGAAAAAAATTCATTTTTAAGCAGTAAAATGGTGGGCTCTGTTACAATATTCTATTATATAATATTTTTTTTACAATTAAAAAAATACATGTTTAACTAACCTGTCCTTGAACTGAACTGTTTTTGCTGTGACCTGACCTTGACCTTCAGCACTGCTTGCTGTCAGGTCATCCTTGAGCTTAGAGTTGTCTTTCCCATCCATTTCATCTTTCTTGACCTCAGTGCTGGTCCTGTGGTCTTCATCAATGACTGGAACATTCCTACCTGTTATCAACAGCAACATAACAGGTAACTAAGGGGTAATGTTTATCTGACACCTGCATATAAAGGGGTTGTGTGAGGACAGCACTGAGCACTGCTACCTTTACTATCACAGACTTGAATCAGGTACCCATTAGAAAAATTTTAGACTTTTGAGCTAGTAAACATGTGCTCTACACCACAATCACAGCATCCCATTTTTCTTTAGATAACTGGGGAATCCTTCCCACTTTTGATGCACTTATAAATGAAGACAAGATTGTCAAAATATGATTACACCTGGATACTGATGATTTAAAAAAGAAACAGTTACTGAAATAATCTTTTTTAATTACTTATTTATAAGATGGCTAGTTTTAACAAAGGTCGCTGATCTACATCAACTGTAACTAAAAAGTACTAAGTGATGCTTAATCTGGCGGTTTTTTTTTTTTTAGATAAGATGATAACAGGTATCAGCTATTGTTATTATTATTATGCTTTCATTTCTTTAGATAAGATAATGATGTGAACTGTCATTTCTTTAGATAAGATAATGATGTCACCTGTCATTTCTTTAGATAAGATAATGATGTGACCTGTCATTTCTTTAAATAAGATAATGATGTGACCTGTCATTTCTTTAGATAAGATAATGTGACCTGTCATTTCTTTAGATAAGATAATGGTTCCTGAACGGTGAGGCATTGGCAAGGGTCGACCAGTTTTTGGTTTATCTGCTGCTGGCTCTGTGATGGTGATGGTAGCGCCCTGGGATGGGGCATTCGGGGTGATGGTGATGGTGGCCCCCACGCCTACTGGGGGGTCCTGATTTGTGACTTGTGATGGATCTATAATTACACAACGTTGAGTGAAAGCTCGTGAACTAGATGATACAAAGTGAAATTATACAAAGTGACACATGATGATAAGTGGGACTAAATGACACAAAGTGAGACTTGATGATGCGAGGTGAAATTGGATGCTGCTAAGTGATACTAGCTAGATATTGAAGACAGTGAAACTTAAATAATTGCAGCAAATAATTTGCAGAGATTTTTTTTAAAGAAAGCTCTTGAAATAAAATACTCTAAAAAAAAAACAGAAAATTTAAACAAAGTGAAATTAGTACCAAAATGTGACTTTTGTAAAAATCACTAAACTAAATTTAAAATTCATTAAATAAATATTTTCTTTAGTACATTCAGTTTAAAAAAAACCATACCAGACAGAACAACCGTATCTGGGCATATGGGCATATTGTCCAGCGCCTTGACCACATCAGACTTTCTCTTCCACCTGCCTCGTTGAGCATCCTTGTCCTCCTCTGTCAACCTGATCACCTGGTCTCTTGGTGTGGTGGCTGTAAAAATATTCAGGGAAAACTTTATGACATTATAGGTACTGACAGTAGTGAGGAATTCAATAGTTTTAAATTAATGTGGTTAATGAGGACAACATTAAGGCCTAGATGTATTATCTATTGTGTCCCCTTATGAAAGTGTCCCCTTACTTATAGGAACAGGGAAAATGTTTTATTCAGCACCATAACATGGTTTAAAAATGAAGTTGATAACTAGCAATCACTCTGTGATTTGATCAATAATAACACTTAACACATGGGATCAGAACCAAGTGTATACAACCAGTCAGAACATCATATGCTATATTAACTTACCAGAATAAAATGATACATTTACTTCCCTTCATGAAATGTTACAGTAGTTTCCCTTCATGAAAGACTACACTTTCTTATAAAATGCTACATTAATTCCCCTGATGTAATAGAACAGTAAGAAGCCTCTCATAAAAAAAAAATTACAATAATTTCCCCTCATAAAATGATACAGTAGCGTCCCTTCAGGAAATATTACAGTTACCGCCCCTGCATATAGACTAGTTACTTCCCCTCAAACACTAGAGTAGCTTCCCCTACCTTCCATCTTTGAGCCAGTCATCTCCAGTGGTACTTGACTCAGGTGCAGGTTTTTCCCCCCGCCCCAGTGAGATCTGCTGCTGTCTTCCTCCCCCTGTGTCGCAGGTTCTACCACAGGTGAGGCAGGAGGACCCCACTTCCTGCGCTCCTCTTCCTCTGTAACTGCCGGAGACGCAGGTGGTCCCCATTTACCTCTGGACGGGTTCTGTTTTAAATCGACATAAATTGTCAACAAACTTCATCAAAATACAAGAAAATTTGAAAAATTAAAATTTATATTTCTAACTCAACTAATTTTTCTCTGTGATCATAAATTTCTGAAACATTCATTTAAATAAAGAAATAGACTGAAAAATGGCATGAAAGTGTGTGATGTAAATGGGTGTTGTTCGTGGAAATATGATTATATGTAACATAATGGTTACAGAGTGTTGCTTTTAGGCTCAAACAAGGCAATTGTGCATTCAGTTATTATAAAAGGTGAAAACTACAGATGGACTGAGCCAAAGTACATTGCAAAGAAAGACAAGCCTGGTTTACCTTGTCATTTAACTTCTTCAAAATGTTGTCTTTCTTGACTTGCTGGCTACTCCTTAAAGGGAGATAATTTCATGACATTAATGACATATCTATATACATAATTCTCTTCTTGGATACCCTAGAAAACTCCAAGCTGTAAGCGTGCCTCCTAACAGCCCCCTCTCTACCTCTCTTCGCTACCACACCCACCCCCACATGGTCTGGTTTACAATCGTCAGGTTTACAATCGTAGAGCCGGGTTTAATGACGGCTATTAGGGGCATATAATTTAGTTTGAAACTATTTTAAACTTAGGGGAGGTAACTAAGAGGAGGCTGCTTTCACGCGGGGGGCGGGGGGGGGGGGGGGGGTTGGGGGAAAGGAGGGTTTTAGTGTTTTAAAGCAAATATTTTCAGTGGCAGCATTCAAATTATTAATTACTGAAAAGTAGAAAATAAAACAACTAAATAGCGCCGCTGGTCGGCTCGTATTTTATATTCTGTTTTTTAGTTTCATAATATTACTAAAAGTTTTTTTTTTTTTTTAATCAAACAATTTTTACAAAACCTAAAACACTTTCTCAATGCTATGACTTTAAAAAAATACTTTTAAACACATCTATTTACATTTTTTAAAATTCTGGAACTCACAATTTATTAAAAAAAACACTATTTCTAAACTATGGAAAACATTAGTAAAAAAAAAAAATATAGTACAAGATTACCATAACAGCTCCACTAAACATTTAAGTAATAAAGTGATATCTGTGTATAAAGTGATACAATGTATCTGTTAACTTACTTTGGTCTCTCTGTCTCTGCTGCAATAGCTTGCAGGGCATTAGTGAGGGGCACTGCTGGCCTAGACACACACAAATAACCACATTAAATGCCAAACAACTTGTTTGAATAGCGCGCTATAAGAATTGCTTACATTAAACACAAATTTGAATTTTATTAGTCTTTAAGATTGCAATTCACAACAAAACACTAAACTCAATTTGAATTTTGTTAGTCTTTAAGATTGCAGTTCACAAAAAAAGATATTTATTTAAACATACTTATATAAACTTATTTTTTCACATTCACATCCATTATCTGGTTCATCATTCCTGTGTTAAAAATCTAACTCAGGTTTTGGTTTAAATCTTAGCCTAAATTCATTGGACCCCACTGGCTCTAGACCCCACCCACCCACGCACATCTTACCACCCAAATGTATTTGAGGAGGTCGCTTGCTAAACCTGCTAAGTCCACTTTTTGAAAAAAAAATATGAGTTCCCCTTATAGCCTTTTTAATTAAGTATACTAATTTTTTTGTAAAAAAAGTATACTTTAAAATAAATAATTTTTTAATAGTAAATTATTGAAAATTCAAACTTTAGTTAACAAACAAAAATATTTAAAAGTCAATTTCCTCAAAATCAATCAGAAGTGACTTGGCAGGTTTTGCAAGTGACCAGCCAAAACAAAAAATAATAAAGTAAAGTTGAGAAATAAAACCAACTTTTCTTCAGCCTGCCCAACAGAAGGCTTGTTGGCAACATTGATGGCTCCTATGGCCTGCAGGGCTCCTGTCATGGGAACAGCTGGTGTTGACGGCTTCACCTGGAAGGAAATCAATATATGGCTACTTTGTCTGATGGACAATAGGGCTGGTAAGTAGGTCACTAACCAGTTCTACGGCTCAATAAAACCTGCATGAGCCATAGAACTGGTTGGTGACCTACTTACCAGCCCTATTGAAAGATTACGCACCAAGGCCTATGGAAATCCAAGGCCTGGGCAGTGGGGTGAGATGAGCCAAATCTTACATCTGGTAATATCAAAACTCTTTAACACTTATCATTTATAGTAGGCTAGTTTACTTTGTTACTTTAGCAAAACTTATTCAAAACTAATTTCACAATCTACTACATGTAACAGCATGCTAGAAAAATACAGTTAAGACAATTTATTCCATTACTGTTAACATTTCTTAAATATTTAAACCAAATTGGTTCTTACTGGAACTATTCCTTGTCTCTGTTGTTCAAGTTCTTTCTTTTTCATTTCCGCCCACTGTTCAGCTTGTTGCTTGAAATAAAAGTAAAAAAAAGCAAAAATTGAAAAACAAAAAAGGACCAAAATTATTTTCTTAGATCGTCTATGGCTCACAGTACATGAAATATCTGTCCTGATACACCACATTTTGACTTGCTTCTCTAGTGTGATTGTACTATTTTTACTCCATTAGATTTTATTTAAGGTTATGGGTCCATGAAATATTTGGTTGACTTATGAGGCATACATTTGCTGGCCAGCACCCAACCTAGTACAGTCTACGCTATTTCAATTATTTAATTTATAATCTTTACAACAGAACTGCTACTGAGTTTAATTTTTTTCAAAGGTAAACCCACTGTTTAATCTCTCAGTTGTGTGTGTTTTATAGACTTAGCAGTTCAATGAAATTTAGCGATTAGAATTATATGCAATTCTAAAAACTTCCACAAAACAATTTTAAAATTCTATTTTCATAAAAAGGGGAAAAGAATTAGTGGCAAAAAAAAATGTAGTGGATTCATAAAATTTTATAGCAATAATTGACAAATAATTTGATAGATAAAAAAAACAAGAGAAAACAATTCACTTTTCTGAGAAAGTTCAATATTGAAAATTTCAATATAATCCACAGTGACAGAGAAGAAGAAATATTAGGCAACAACTAAACAAAACTTACCTTCAGTGCTTCAACTTTTTTCTTTCTTTCCTCTGCCTCCTCTGAGTTCTAAGCATAAAGAAAACAAAATTACTTAACATCATCTTAAGTAACGTTCCCCATTTTTGTATTTACATAGGTGAATGTCATATTCTGGGTAACTTTCTATATGACATCTATTTTATAGCTCAGTCTGGTATTAACTTTTCCTAATGAGATGAATATAAAATATAGATACTGTTATAAGGTACTGTGATCCACTACAACATGCCAACCAATAGAGAAATTCAAATATTTCAAGTAATAAAATATAAGGGTAAAGAAAGTTACCTTAGATGCACCCTCAGCAACATTAACGCCCCGAATGGCTCGCCTGTCCCTCATGTTCTGTATACGAATTTGGCGCAATTTTTCCAGGTATTCCTAAAACACAGCATGAAAACATTTTACAAACCAAAATATAAAGGCAGGTAAATGAAAATGGAAATTAAATATAACATGCAGGTAAATTAAATAGGAACAGTAAAACAAGTATTTATAAAACAATTAAAATATCACAAATGCAGGTTAATTAAATAGGAACAGTAAAACAAGAATCCATAAAACAATTAAAATATCACAGATGCAGGTTAATAAGATAGGAATAGTAGCAAGAGAAGTATCTGTAAACCAATGGCTACCTGTTCTTCTCTGTTCCTGGCCACCATGACACCCCCACCTCCTCCGCCTCCACCCCCTCGACCTTTGTCGTTCTTAGGACTGCCACCTCTCTCTAGATAAAAATGAATAAACCGTCATTCATAAATTATTAGGACTTCCACCTCTATCTAGATAAAAATGAATAAATTGTCATTCATAAATTATTAGGAATAATACAAAAAAATGTCACTCATACATTATTAGGACTGTCACCTCTCTCTTAACTCTCTAGGCAAAAATAAATAAATAAAGTAAAAAGAGATTAAAAAGGATTAACTTAATGAGAAAACAACCAAAATAAAATAACTTACGAGGAGCAGGAACTGGGGTGCGTCTGTCAGCAGATGATGGTCGATACTTGTAAATAAAATATTTGGATATACAATCAGAAAATTGTTGATGTTTGTACAAGTATAGATTAAAAATAAAACCAATCAGATACAAAAAGTATAAAAATTATACAATCAGATCAGCAAAGAACAAAAACAGACCTAAAAATCATATCAGCTAAAGCTTCAATTTAATTTAGCAAACATGAGTTTCTGTAGGACACAACTACTAAATTACATAGGGCATTATTATGGTCAATTATGCAATGTCTTTTAGATAGGGAATCATTATTTCATCTAATTGGTCATGTTGAGCCATCTTTAGTGTAATCCAACAGGGGGGGGGGGGGGGGGGGGGGTTAGCCTCGATGGTAATAGATTTACAAACTTTGCTTTCCTGTGGCAGCTCCTGCAACCAAAGTTGGCACCAAACATACTTAGCTTAGCATTCCCTAGGATACCAGCAGCTGAGAGAGATATCACGATGTATTGGCAACCCATGATCTCTTCATCTAATGCCCAGGTTCTCACCCCTAGAATACCACTTCTATATGTGCATCTATTTTCTCCTGAGGCAAAGCAGCGCCATAAATAAACTTACTGCGCCATAAATAAACTTACAGCACCATAAAGGTCATTCTGTGCCCTCATTTTATTCATGGCTGCCATCCTCTGCCTCTGCATGTAATCCTCCACCACACGAGCTCTCTCTGCTGCCTGGGCACCAAGTTGCCTGGGGACAAGAGACACATACAAATATGTAGTGTAGGGAGACAAGAGACACATACAAATGTGGAGACTAGGGAGATATAAAAACACATATAAATGATCTCTGTAATAGAGACCTTAGAGGACCAGAACCAATACAAATAATAAAAGGTGTGAAGCCTAGTAAAGTGTAATCAAAGGTTTATTCTAGCAAAAAAAATTCTACTGGTTGAGATATAACAAGAAAAGTAGCAGTACTTGAACGAAAATGAACCATTATTTTTTTTTATTTTTTTTTAAATAACTTTTTTCTAACTTTAAGAAGTACCTTTACTTTATTAGATGAACAAAATTCTATTCTTTAAAGAAAAAAATTCATAAATTATTATTAAAAATGTTAAAATCTCTTTTTATTAATAATACCAAAATCACACCCATTATTGCCCATAACCACATAGTTTTAAGAAAATACATTTAAATATTTTTATACAGAAAATTTCAACTCTATTCGCCACACATTTTTTCAGCAATATAATTTTATTCACCAAACTCATTGGCGAGAAAAGCAAATCATATGCAGTTTCATACCCTAATGAAACTTACATATTGAAAGCCAGGGCAGAAAAAGCAGTTAGAATAAAAAGCAAAACATAGGCCATTTCAAAACATAATGAAACTCACATATTTTTGCCCAAGGCAGAAAAAGCGGTTAGAATTTAAAAAATTAAACCATTTGCAATATCATTCAAGCCTTAATGAAACTCACACATTTTTGCCCAAGGCAGAAAAAGCAGTTAGAATAAAAAAGCAAACCATATGCAGTTTCAAACCCCACTGAAACTCACATATTTTTGTCCGAGGCAGAAACAGCAGTTAGAATAAAAAAGCAAACCATATGCAGTTTCAAACCCCACTGAAACTTACATATTGTTGCCCAAGGCAGAAAAAGCAGTTAGAATAAAAAAGCAAACCATATGCAGTTTCAAACCCCACTGAAACTTACATATTGTAGCTATACCTGTCTCGACCTGCCTGGTCCACTACTGCTGGGATACCCAGTGGGCCCATGTTGAACTGTGGCCTTTGTTGTGGGACAGGTCGCGGGACGGCCATGTGGACAACTGAGGAAGATTTTTTTTTAATTTTAATTTTTTGTGTGAAAATTAAAGCTGTTATGTTTTAAATCCATGTGGACAACTGAGGAAGATTTTTTTAATTTCAACTTTTTTTTTTGTGTGAAAATTACAGCTGTTTTATTTTAAATCCATGAGGGCAACTGTGGAAAAATATTTTGTTTAAAGTATTATAACATTTCTTTGTAAAAAAAATTAGAGCTTTTATAGGTCGTTTTTTTTTTGTTTTTAAGAAATTAAAGATGCTTAGATGAGATGCAATAATTCTGCCTATAGTTCAAGACTATTATGAAAGGTCAATGAAAGTCAATGGAATGCCCAGTTAAAGTAACATTAATGACACATGCTGCACAGATGTAAAAGGTCATGGTCAACTGCCATCCACAAGCGTGACAGTAGTTCTGAAAGGTCAAGGTCACCTACCATCAACATGGTTTGGATTCCGTGCTGGCCCAGGGGATGGAGTTTGCCTGTCTTGATGCAGCTTGTTCAAAAACTGATTGTAGGCTTCGTAGTTTCCCCTGTCTCTGTTGTCATTCTTTGATAAACAAAACCCAATGTTAGACAATAGAAAGTAGACAGACTAAAAGTCTTATGGTCAATTGTTGTTTTATTCATATTAGGCCACTGAAGATATATTCGACTATTTAGGAAACGGTAGCTAAAATGATACCTACATTTACTTTTGGTACAGGTAAGGGTCGAGGAGGTTTGGCAAAGTCATTTTTTGGGGTCACTGGACGATTCTGTTGATTAAAACCATTAATGTTATAGTCGTGAATTAAAAAAATAAAATTTGGTTAATGTAGTTTTAGATGTAGATAAACTCTATGCCAAACCTAGTCATATAAGTGGTGTCTAAAGTTTGAGGCGGGAAAGATGTGTTTTATAATTACAATATTTCAGTTATCTATAATGTACATGAGACTAATTTGAATAGAATTTATTACATTTAGGGTAAAATAAAACAAAGATCCTGTGTTTCAATCATGAAATTATATTTACTTTTAGTTCAAGACAATTTTCAATTTAAACAACAGTACAGAGGTGTTGAGTCCATGATGGTAATTTTATCAATAAATAAGTTATAGTATAAATGTAATAAAACAACCTTCCTGCCACTGTTTAAGATTACAACTTTCTCATTCCTCTGCGTTGAAAAGGTTTTTAAAAAGGTCAACTAAAATAATCATTTTTATTTTGTTACCTACAACTCACAATTTGGAAAATTTCATAAAAATAACTGATAGAAGAACCAATCTATCATGTAATTTCTTGCTTAGAACTCTCTGAACAGAAGGTTTAAAAAAGCATTAGCTAGAAGAACCAATCTATCAGTACCTCCTCTATATAGAACGGGTCAACGACCTGCTTCCAGCCTTCCTCTCTAGCCTTGTTTATCCTTGCCATCTGTTATAACAAGTCCAAAACAGTTTTATACTGGGTTTCTTACCCAGTTTTTTTACTGCAAGCTGCTGGTATGTTGTGTTCACAACACTAGCTGTATTTGTAGCTATTTTAACTTTTCAAAAAGTTTAACTTTATGGCCACTAATTCACAATTAAATTTATGCCAATAAGTTACTAAACAATATTTTTAACCATATACTTGAACAGTTTTTAGGTCCACAATTATTCATTACAAAGTTACATCTTTAAAAAGATCTTGTTTAACTCCACTAACCTTTTGTCTTTCAATAAACTCCCTGTGTTTTCTTTCATTAGCCTCTTGTTCCTGTGTTAACCAAAAATTTTGGAGTTGTACAAATTTGTCATTTAAAAGCTGTGGCAGTGGGATCAAACAGGAAGACACACAATGGCTTTTACAGTTTACGTAGTGGGGGAGTAAAGTGTATGACTGAGCACCAAAAAGACTAGTTGGAATCTGGCTGACTAATCTGTTGGATGTCTCAGAGTAAACAAGACCACACAGTAACTTATACTAGCTGTTGTGTGTTTGTTGGTCACAGTACTGGTCACCCAATCCCTGGGTCTCCAACAATAGAATCAATTTGAAATTTCTACTTGTATTGTCCTATAGGGAAAAAATCAGGGTACATCACCCTATTTTTTTCATACATGGCCAAACCTTACTGACAGTGATAGACTAGCATTTGATCTAAACCAGACAGGTGCCTGAAAGAATTTGACATTTACTTACTCGTTTTCTCATCTCTGCTTTACGTCTTTCATCCTGATCTAGTTTTTCTTTTTTCTTCTTTTCCCAGTCCTGTCATTGTAAGGCAAACATAATAAAATTTTAAAAGGCGAATTCATTATATTTTGGAGGTTATTCAAAATAGGTAAGTATGTAAATATGCTACTGACGTTACAAACTCCTATAACAGCAATAGGATTGTGTGGTTAAGTCAAAGGTGTAGCGACGGAGGCGCGGGGGTACATGTGTCCCTGGGCGCTGACCCAAGGGGTGCCAAAGTAAGTTGGAAAAAAAAATTACAAGCTCATTTTAGCTGCAGTTTTGAATTATAAATATAAAAATATATATGGGGGGGGGGGGGGGGGGGCGCCAAATTAAAAGTTTGTTCCTGGGCGACAGGAGAGATCGCTACGCCTGTGGGTTAAGTGATGGAGCACATAACCATAAGCCTGACAGTTTTGTGTTCGGTTCACTGAACCCACCCACAGGAGACAGGTACCAGAATTCAGCCATAATGGTGTACAAACAATCCTTGCATATGAAAACTACATACACCCCACTGTGTTGAAAGTGGTTTGATTCACTGTGGTAAATCACAAAGGTATGTAACCCTACCACTCCAGGTACAGGACAATTACCACCTGTCCAGGTACAGGACAATTACCACATGTCCAGGTACAGGACAATTACCACCTGTCCAGGTACAGGACAATTACCACCTGTCCAGGTACAAGACAATTACCACCTGTCCAGGTACAGGACAATTACCACCTGTCCAGGTACAGGACAATTACCACCTGTCCAGGTACAGGACAATTACCACCTGTCCAGGTACAAGGCAATTACCACCTGTCCAGGTACAGGACAATTACCACCTGTCCAGGTACAGGACAATTACCACCTGTCCAGGTACAGGACAATTACCACCTGTCCAGGTACAGGACAATTACCACCTGTCCAGTACAGGACAATTACCACCTGTCCAGGTACAGGACAATTACCACCTGTCCAGGTACAAGACAATTATCACCTGTCCAGGTACAGGACAATTACCACCTGTCCAGGTACACAACAATTACCACCTGTCCAGGTACTGGACAATTACCACCTGTCCAGGTACAAGACAATTATCACCTGTCCAGGTACAAGACAATTACCACCTGTCCAGGTACAAGACAATTACCACCTGTCCTGGTACAAAACAATTACCACCTGTCCAGGTACAGGACAATTACCACCTGTACAGGTACAGGACAATTACCACCTGTCCATGTACAAGACAATTACCACCTGTCCAAGTACAAGACAATTACCACCTGTCCAGGTGCAGGACAATTACCACCTGTCCAGGTACAAGACAATTACCACCTGTCCAGGTACAAGACAATTACCACCTGTCCAGGTACAGGACAATTACCACCTGTCCAGGTACAGGACAATTACCACCTGTCCAGGTACAAGACAAATATCAGCTGTCCAGGTACAGGACAATTACCACCTGTCCAGGTACAGGACAATTACCACCTGTCCAGGTACAAGACAATTATCACCTGTCCAGGTACAGGACAATTACCACCTGTCCAGGTACAAGACAATTATCACCTGTCCAGGTGTGAAAAACATACCATCTGCCCAGGTATTGGAACTGCTCTCCCTGGGGTACTTGGCCTTTTCTTTTCACCAGACAGTCTTCAATACATAGAAAAATAAAATATGAAAAAAGAAGCTACAATTTACAAGATTTTTTTTTTTAATCACTTTTTAGAGAAGACATGATGGACTGAAATATTTGATCTTTTTTAAGAGAAAAACTTTGGACTTTGATATTACTTTTGATAAAAACAAAGAAAAACATGGACTGGATATTTTACCTATTTCTTGAAGAGTTCAATGGTGCACCATAGACTGCGGCTGGGTCATATTTTTTACCTGCAGACCCAGGTCGAGGACTTGGGGCGGGTTTTTTAATCGGATCTGATGAGAACATATTTTCATAACATTTGTATGTTGTTTCTCTAAGAAACTTGCTTAAGTGATATCAGGCATCATAAAAAAGACCTACACAAAGCTAATATAGGACATACACCATCATACAACAAGAAACTTTGATCGAATTCACCTGTAAAAATAAAACTCACCTGCAGAAGGCTTGGGTGCAGGTGGTAAAGCTTTGGCAATTTTGTGGCCGTGCATGACTGTGTGACTGAACTCATCCTGTAGATCCTGCACCATCATTGAACAAACAATCAACATTGTTATGGGACAAACAGTCAGCACAGTTATGGAACAAACAGTCAGCATTGTTATGGGACAAACAGTCAGCACAGTTATGGAACAAACAGTCAGCATTGTTATGGGACAAACAGTCAGCACAGTTATGGAACAAACAGTCAGCATTGTTATGGGACAAACAGTCAGCACAGTTATGGAACAAACAGTCAGCATTGTTATGGGACAAACAGTCAGCACAGTTATGGAACAAACAGTCAGCATTGTTATGGGACAAACAGTCAGCACAGTTATGGAACAAACAGTCAGCATTGTTATGGGACAAACAGTCAGCACAGTTATGGAACAAACAGTCAGCATTGTTATGGGACAAACAGTCAGCACAGTTATGGAACAAACAGTCAGCATTGTTATGGGACAAACAGTCAGCACAGTTATGGAACAAACAGTCAGCACAGTTATGGAACAAACAGTCAGCATTGTTATGGGACAAACAGTCAGCACAGTTATGGAACAAACAGTCAGCATTGTTATGGGACAAACAGTCAGCACAGTTATGGAACAAACAGTCAGCATTGTTATGGGACAAACAGTCAGCACAGTTATGGAACAAACAGTCAGCATTGTTATGGGCCAAACAGTCAGCATTGTTATGGAACAAACAGTCAGCATTTTATGGAACAGTCAGCACAGTTATGGAACAAAAAGTCAGCATAGTTATGGGACAGTCAACATTGTTATGGGACAAACAGTCAGCATTGTTATGGGCCAAACAGTCAGCATTGTTATGGGACAGTCAGCATTGTTATGGGACAGTCAGCATTGTTATGGGACAAACAGTCAGCATTGTTATAGAACAAACAGTCAGCATTGTTATGGGCCAAACAGTCAGCATTGTTATAGAACAAACAGTCAACATTGTTATGGGACAGTCAACATTGTTATGGGCCAAACAGTTAGCATTGTTATGGGACAAATGGTCAGCATTGTTATAGAACAAACCGTCAACATTGTTATGGGACAGTCAACATTGTTATGGGACAGTCAGCATTGTTATGGGACAAACAGTCAACATAGTTATGGGACAAACAGTCAACATTGTTATGGGCCAAACAGTCAGCATTGTTATAGAACAGTCAACATTGTTATGGGACAGTCAACATTGTTATGGGCCAAACAGTTAGCATTGTTATGGGACAAATGGTCAGCATTGTTATAGAACAAACAGTCAACATTGTTATGGGACAAACAGTCAACATTGTTATGGGACAAATGGTCAGCATTGTTATGGGACAGTCAGAATTGTTATGGGACAAACTGTCAACATTGTTATGGGACAGTCAACATTGTTATGGGCCAAACAGTCAGCATTGTTATGGGACAGTCAACATTGTTATGGGACAAACAGTCAGCACAATTATGGAACAAACAGTCAGCATTGTTATGGGCCAAACAGTCAGCACAGTTATGGAACAAACAGTCAGCACAGTTATGGGACAAATGGTCACCAATGTTATGGAACAAACAGTCAGCATTTTATGGAACAGTCAGCACAGTTATGGAACAAAAAGTCAGCATAGTTATGGGACAGTCAACATTGTTATGGGACAAACAGTCAGCATTGTTATGGGCCAAACAGTCAGCATTGTTATGGGACAGTCAGCATTGTTATGGGACAGTCAGCATTGTTATGGGACAGTCAGCATTGTTATGGGACAGTCAGCATTGTTATGGGCCAAACAGTCAGCATTGTTATGGGCCAAACAGTCAGCATTGTTATGGGACAGTCAGCATTGTTATGGGACAGTCAGCATTGTTATGGGACAAACAGTCAGCATTGTTATAGAACAAACAGTCAGCATTGTTATGGGACAGTCAGCATTGTTATGGGACAAACAGTCAGCATTGTTATAGAACAAACAGTCAGCATTGTTATGGGCCAAACAGTCAGCATTGTTATAGAACAAACAGTCAACATTGTTATGGGACAGTCAACATTGTTATGGGACAGTCAGCATTGTTATGGGACAAACAGTCAACATTGTTATGGGACAAACAGTCAGCATTGTTATGGGACAAACAGTCAGCACAGTTATGGAACAAACAGTCAGCATTGTTATGGGACAAACAGTCAGCATTGTTATGGGACAAACAGTCAGCACAGTTATGGAACAAACAGTCAGCATTGTTATGGGACAAACAGTCAGCACAGTTATGGAACAAACAGTCAGCATTGTTATGGGACAAACAGTCAACATTGTTATGGGACAAACAGTCAACATTGTTATGGGACAAACAGTCAGCATTGTTATGGGACAAACAGTCAGCACAGTTATGGAACAAACAGTCAGCATTGTTATGGGACAAACAGTCAGCACAGTTATGGAACAAACAGTCAGCATTGTTATGGGACAAACAGTCAGCACAGTTATGGAACAAACAGTCAGCATTGTTATGGGACAAACAGTCAGCACAGTTATGGAACAAACAGTCAGCATTGTTATGGGCCAAACAGTCAGCACAGTTATGGAACAAACAGTCAGCACAGTTATGGGACAAATGGTCACCAATGTTATGGAACAAACAGTCAGCATTTTATGGAACAGTCAGCACAGTTATGGAACAAAAAGTCAGCATAGTTATGGGACAGTCAACATTGTTATGGGCCAAACAGTCAGCATTGTTATGGGACAAACAGTCAGCATTGTTATAGAACAAACAGTCAGCATTGTTATGGGCCAAACAGTCAGCATTGTTATAGAACAAACAGTCAACATTGTTATGGGACAGTCAACATTGTTATGGGCCAAACAGTTAGCATTGTTATGGGACAAATGGTCAGCATTGTTATAGAACAAACAGTCAACATTGTTATGGGACAGTCAACATTGTTATGGGACAAACAGTCAACATTGTTATGGGACAAACAGTCAACATTGTTATGGGACAAACAGTCAACATTGTTATGGGACAAACAGTCAGCATTGTTATGGGACAAACAGTCAGCACAGTTATGGAACAAACAGTCAGCATTGTTATGGGACAAACAGTCAGCATTGTTATGGGACAGTCAGCATTGTTATGGGACAAACAGTCAGCATTGTTATGGGACAAACAGTCAGCATTGTTATGGGACAGTCAGCATTGTTATGGGACAAACAGTCAGCATTGTTATGGGACAGTCAGCATTATTATGGGACAAACAGTCAACATTGTTATGGGACAGTCAGCGTTGTTATGGGACAGTCAGCATTGTTATGGGACAAATAGTCAGAATTGTTATTGGACGAATAGTCACAACAATTTGTCTAAAATAGCTTTTGATTGCTCATATAGTTAACAGCTGTTGCTCATAAGTTCCCAAATATCAATTGTGTTTTAAAATATCAATGCATATATTTTGGAAAATTGATTTAACAAAATCAACCTAATTTCAAGACCTCTATTCAACAGGAAAAGATGAACATACAATAAAAAATGTTTGTTTCAGAACCTAGGCTTACCTCAGCAGACAATAACCTTCTAACTCGCTGCATGATGAAATTTTTCCTTAAAATTGAATTGACAGTAGGACGATCTCTGAAAAAAATATTTCTCTACCATAAATTTCTGACAAAATGTTACGACTTAAAAAAAAAAATTTTGCAATTATTCCATGATGACCCTCACATAGATTAACTCCCTGGCTTAAGGCATCTATGACTATTTATCATCAGACCTGTTCTGTATTATCTTATAGTCGTAAGAAAACATTTGGGGGACTTGACAACTTGGGGTCCCTGGCTGCAAGTCAGTCGGGCTACCAATACTCTGCCACTGAAATCCTGGTTTTCTATTTGATTGAATTAATCAACCTCAGTTTTATCGCTAAACTTAAAAGTAATATTTGCAGAGATTTTTCTGATTTCAATCCTCAGTCATCAACGTTGCTTAGATAAAATAAGCAACATTAACAGCAAGCTTGGTGAAACTGATAAGGGCTGACAGTACTTGAAAATTCCTACATTTGTAACAAATATCACATGATGTAATAAAATATCACATGTTTTGAAAGAGCAACTATACTAATTTACAAAACAGCCTCACCTTGGATTTCTTTTAAACAGCTGGGCTATCAAGCCCCTTAAATCGTAACTGAACTGTGGAGGAACAGGAGGGTAACTTCCCCTTAAAGAAAAAGGTACACATAAGAATTTCAAAGTAATTTCATCTGTGGAAATCAGTTGATCTTTTTTTTTATATATATATTAAAAATTCATAATTAGAATCACTGCAGCAAAAAAGTTTACCTGATAATTTTTAGCACCAAATTTTTCATATTAGAAGCTTCAAACTGAGGGGTAAAAATGTATGAGCATGAGTATATCTCATAAACCATGAGTTAAATCTTATCAAACAAATACTAGAAAAAAATTAGCCTGTAGTCTCTATTTACAAAAGAAGCAAAAACGTTACTAACTGCATGTTTCAGTGTGGTTAGCTCATATAGTACACAACCCATAGACCATATATCACTGAAAGAGTACATTCATTAAAAATTTTATAACAAACACTTAATAGCTGCAGCTTGTTAATAAACTATAATGCTTTTTTCATAAAAAAATTTTTACAAAATTAAAAATGGGCATAGTACCAGTTTTTACCTTTTGTTATTATAAGGCATGTTCTCTACAATTTCAGGAGATAAATAATAAGGTGTACCAATGCAGGTGTGGGCTAGCTGGGCAGTCCTACAAAAGGTGATTTAAGTTGCAGAAAATATATTATTATAATTTATAATTAAGATGATCCAAATTTATAAATCTAAAAAAAACAGTTTTAAATTAATTAATAGAAAGTTAGAGAAAATTGATGGAAAAATGTATAAATTGACAAAATTATTAATCATTTTGAATTGTTTAAACTAACAAAGTTGTAGATTGGGGGGGGGGGGGGTTCAAGATTATCTAAATTTATAATGCTACAAAATATGTAATATGAACCTGTGCACTTACGAGTTTAAAACTTTTGCTATACCAAAGTCCCCAAGCTGAACAGTGCCAGTGTGGGTAAGGAAGATGTTCTGTAACAAAAGTATTGTAAGTAAAGATGTTCTGTAACAAAAGTAATGTAAGTAATGAAGATATTATGTGACAAAAGTAATGTAAGTAAAGATGTTCTGTAACAAAAGTAATGTAAGTAATGAAGATATTATGTGACAAAAGTAATGTAAGTAAAGATGTTCTGTAACAAAAGTAATGTAAGTAAAGATATTCTGTAAAAAAAGTAATGTAAGGAAGGAAGATGTTCTGTAACAAAAAATAATGTGAAGATGTTATATACAAAGGTAATTAAGTAAAAAAGAGGTACCAAGAGAAAATAAAAAACCTGAGACAGAAAATACCTGTAACTTAATTTCCCAAGGGAAAATATAAAAAGCTCAAAGAGAAAATACCTGTGACTTGATGTCTCTGTGAAGTATCTTCCTGTCATGAATGTGTTTGATAGCCAGACACAACTGAACAAACCAATCTAGAATCTGAAAGAATAATTACAAATAGTTTTTATTTTATATCAATTTAATTCTATATTAATTTTTAAAAAAACTGCATCAAATTACTCACTGTGGTTTATTTTATATTAATTGTCCAATATTAGTTTGTACAAAGTGTGTCATTATCACTTTTAAAATATATTGGATAAAAGAATGAAGTAACTAAGATAAAGAAATAAAAGCCAGTTTTCTGCTCATTAAATGTCCATCTCACCTGGTCCTCGGAGAACAGCTGACCTCTTCTTTCATTTATTTTTCCATATAAATCACCTGTAAGACATTATTGATTAGTCTACTTGAAAAATATTGCAACGAACATCAGAATCAACAAAACAAAAATAACAACGTAATCATTTTGAACAAGGGTGAGCATTAAGTTTGAAAAACGCTGGTAAGATAGCCTATTGTGATGCATGAAATTTTTTTTTAATAAAGTATTAAAAAGGTAAACAATACACTTTTGCACATAAGAGCTTTAACCTATTTATTCATAACAGTGTTGATATGGTTAAACTTAGTAAAAATAAAAATGACAATGAAAAATATAAAACATAAAACATACCTCCAGCACAATAGTTCATGACAATGTACAAAGTTCCCTTTTCTAGGAGCAAAACAAAATATTTAGTTTTTAAAAAAAATCTTTACTTATGGTGAAAATTTAAAAATGGAAATACATGTTGAAATGCAGCAATATCTAAGTTAACTAGTACCTTCAAATGATTCAACATATGCCACAATGTTTGGGTGTTTCAGCTGAGCCAACACAGCAACCTATTCAACATAATCAAATAGTTAACAACTCATTGTTAATCACACATTGCTAAGCCGGTTGCATAAAACCCCTCTACCTGTGAGCCAGCCATTTTGTCCTGGGATTATTACAGTATTTCACTAAGTGTAAAATGGTGCTCACACAAATGTATCTATGCCTGCTAAAGTGGGATTAGCTGTGACAGTTAGGCTGTATAAGCTTGTAGAATTGTAAGCATTTTTCTCATTAGGGCAGCATGGCTAAAAATGTTTGTCATAATAAAGAGAAAAGACTAATGCTACTCTTCGTTGTTTTTTTCTGATGGTGGAATACATGAGTTTATTGAATTTGAATGCCCAAACATTTATTAATGATTATCTTTTTTAATTAATTAACTGACAAATTTGACTCCTTGAACAATTTATTCTTTTATAATATTGATTGATCTTTATATTTGGAAAAAATATAACACAAAATAATGTTTATTAATGTTTTGAAATTGTATGTTCGGGTGGTAATGAAACAGTTACCTCTTTTCTAGCTTCATCTCGCTCTTTGGGTGACATCTGTGTTTTGAAAAAAATAAAAAGTTGGATTAAATATTAATGAAAATACTAGCTAAGATTACATTTTTTTAAAATGAAAGAAAAGAAAAGAAAAAAGAGGAGTATTAAATCCCACTTCTGCGGAAGTCACAGGTATAATGTTAAACAAAAGATACAAAAATACTGGAACCAAAGACAATGTTAATCTAAGGATAAAACAAAAGACATTACTGACAACTCCACTTCTGCAGGATGTAATTACCTTCATGATGTTTATTTCCTTGATAACATACTGTTTAGCAGAGTCTTTCTTCTTCACCAACACCGCTTTCCCAAAGGCTCCTTCGCCGATCTGGCGTTGCCTGCTATATTTATTCATGGTGGACTTTCTGCAGCATACAGCTAGTTGTTTGATGAGGGTTCACAGATTTTTTTTTTAACTGAAATGGATATAAATCAACTACAGCTTAGCAAAAACAATTTTCAGTAGCAGTTTTTCGTTCTTGAAATTACATTTGAAAATCTATGATTTGTGACCTACCACCTTAAATTTTTACCACATTTTTTATGCTAACATCCTAGATCTAGAAGAAATTGAGAAATCTAACTTGTAAATAATAAAATATGCCCATCAAACAGGAAATCAGAAATTTAATATGCATGGTTTCTTTACTGAGCCTTGCCATTTATTTACACTATTAAGACAAATATTCAAAACTTCATGTGATTTTTGTGCACGATTACAATACTTCCTATTTACTCTGAACTCTCAAAGTACTCTGTAACGACATAGACATCTAGATCTAGATCTAGAATTCTAGATGTACAAGAAAGTTCAGAAAGAAAAAAAAAAAAAGAAAAAAAAAACATAAACAACTTGAAATTCATTGGAGAACAAATGAAAAACTTACTAAAAAGAAATATATTTTTACATTATATTTTATTTAAAGTAAACTGTTGTTTTCGGTACAATTATCTCTAATCAGAGCGCCAAGAATCTTAATTATTCAGATAATTAAGCTATCACGTCTCCGCATAGAAACCCATTGTTTGGGTATGTGACCCGCCATTTTGGATAATGATGTCATGTTGTTAAAATGTTGGATAAGATGTTGATACTAGATTTACATGCTTGACTAAATTTAATAATAAAGAAATTTATATGCGGTTTATTCAAAATTCGCAACATATTTTAAAATATGATCTTTAATATTAAATAAGATTAATGACTAATGGTATTTTTAAAAATATAGGCCTATATGTCATTACTTTCTCGTATATAGGCCTACGTAGTATAGAGAAAGTATTGTAATCGTGCAAAAAAAAAATCGAGATTTTTACAAATCTCGACGTTTTACACCTCACTTATACGGAAAAACATAATTTTGCAATCTTGTCCGTATGTCTGTGTGTCTATGTGTGTGTCTGTGTGTGTGTGTGTGTGTGTGTGTAAACACGATAACTTGAGTATCGTTACAGCTAGGTTGATGAAATTTCATACATAAGTATTTTATCAAAATCGTAGATCCGTATCAACTTTTGAGCGATTTCCGATAACCGGAAGTGGTACTTTTTCTACTTTGAATTTTTCAAAAGCCTATAACTTGAGTACTATTTCAGATAGATAAATGAAATTTCACATGTAAGTAAAAGATCTAATTTTCTACCTTCTGTTAAATTTTGAGTAATTTCCGTTGACGGGAAGTACTAATTTACGCTATTTCCGATTTCTCAAAAACGCATCTAAATTTATAAAGTACTAATAATATTGCGCACCATTATGAACATCTTTATTCGGCGTTCGCTTGGTGTGCAATGCTTTTTTCTATGAGATTCTATTTTATTTTTAAAAGTTTATGTATTTAAAATGGATTAAAAATCATAACTATATCCCGAGTTCCCATCCCTTGTTGTTTTATATAAGAATATTCGAGAAAGTTTAGGGGAGATCACTCCCGGTTTATTTTTAAATCATTGTCGTAATACGACACTTTGAGAACTGACAAGAAAAAAAAAGGGGGGAGGGGTGGGGGCGTCGTCAATAAGTGCTTACGCATACTTAAGTAAGATTTTTCTAGACCTCCAATCGAAATAGGAGAACTCTACTTCAGGCTCCGTGGACCGCCATTTAGAATACAAAACTGCAGCTAAAATTAGCTTTTAAGTTTTTTAACCCATTTTGGCGCCCCTAAAGTCGGCGCCCGGGGATATATGTACCCCCAACCCCCCGTCGCTACGCCTCTGGTCACCAGTGTAACCAGATATGACACGTGAGATCGAGAGGTGGGGGAGGGGGGGGGTAGCTCGATTATTCTGCCACTATTTGAACTTATTTATGAGTAGGTGCTCAGGTATTTGGCTTACCCCCCCCCCCCTCTCAATTCATAAACTGAGGAGTAGTTAGGAAGTATTTAAGACATTTTGCTAAAGCGGGTTGTGGGGGGGGGGGGGGGAGGATGGCCAATAGTAAGAACCTAAAGTTTAAAAAATGTTCAAATTTCTATTCCGTCAGGGGTGCAGCTGGTGTGTTGAGCGCAGGGGGTAGGGGGTAGGGGGAGGTAGTGCCCACCCCCACCAGACAGAGACCTGAAACACTGACACAAACACATACACCTACTAAGCCACTTGTTCTGTGTTATGGTACTCTATAGACTAGTATAGACCTACCTGCGTACTGTTAGATCGATCGACGTTTGATTCTGTGCTGGCTAAACATAGATCCTTTGCTCAAATTATTCGTCATAGCTATACATAGAAACAGTACCGTGATTACCTTTAAAAGTTGACGCCTGTTGCATCATAAGCTGTTTCGGCGATACGGGTTATGCTAGGGTTTATTTGTTTTAATTGAATAAATTTGAAGAAGCAGAAAGTAAATACTCTTGCTGTACGGCTGGCCTAATACTACTAATATAGTTCTTAGTGAAACATGGCGGGAAACAAACACAAAATGGAATTTGTTCCAATGTCAAAAATAATGAAAACAACAACGTTTCGGGATTTGAGGTGTTCTGACTGGGTAGCAACAGAAAAGGTGAGTGTTTAAAAAATGTTTTTAGTTGAAATATTTCAGTTTGTTTGATGAAACACTAAAATGGATTAGTTTTATTTGTATTTGTAAAACTGTGTTATTCAGCTTCTTAAGTAGCTTCAGTAAACGTGAAAAAAAAACATTTGTTTTTCTTCGTTCTTAATTTTAGTGTTGGAAGCGATCCCCTCCAACACAATTCAGCTTACGTGACAATTGGTTATTAGCCATTGAGGTCATTGACTCCGATTTCAGCCTGCTTTTCTTTTTGCAATTGTTATTATAGCCTTTATCAGACCAAGAAAGAACAAACTACAAGGCAGCAGAGTTGTTTGATTTTTGAGTTGTCTCTCCTAGAAGAGTGGCTGTCCCCTACTAAAGAGTCTCATCTGCCCGAGGGTTCGAACTCGAGACTTTTCGGTATAGCAACTATAAGATTTACCGACTCGATCACGCCCACCCCTTTTGTTTAATTTAAAGTACACACTTTTGCTAAATTGTTGGTATATATATATATATATATATATATATATATATATATATATATATATATATATATATATATATAAACCTATATACTCATACAGATTCATGGAGCCAGTTTTCAGTTTTTCACAAACGATGGTATCAACATCCACATGGCAAGTCGCAGAAGGGTGCTTGACGGAGAAAAGTCTTTCCAAAAATGTGACTTGGTAGAATTCCATAGTCGTTATCATGGACATGTGAACCGACTTTTCTCTTTGATCGGGGAAGACTCCCGATGGACAGTATACACAGATAGAAGTAGAAGAAGTTGTGATGCCGATGATGACAGGGACAATGATGGAGGTAACTTAATCGGAGAAGGTGCGAAATGTTGCGAGCTTAAGATTATTGGTAAGGTCATTGATGGAAATAACGGAATTGTGGATTATGTCACAACTGATCATCGATTAGGTACTGATGTAATCTCCTCTGAACATGACATTTCAACAAATGAGACACACGATGACATAGAGCTACGTGTATATGGCGAGTTGTACGGCGGTGGAGGAGTACACGAAAACGTGAGCTCAGCTCTTCAGAAAGAGATTATTTACAGCGACGAGTTTCGATTTTACGTTTTCGCAATTTCGATCAACCGGAAGTGGTTAAACGTGACGGAGTTGAATGACTTGTGCAAACAGGCGGGGTTTCCGTACTACGCTACTCCCGTCTGCGAGCCCAAGGCCACGGTGAAAGAGCTCGTCTGCTGGTTGACCGAAAGCGGCTTCATGACAAGTAAGTCGAGGTTCACAGACAAGGATGGTGATGCGAACACGAGGGTGGCCGGAAAGAACCGCAACGGAAAAAAGCGCAACGGAAAAAAGCGCAAATCAAAAAGCGCAACGGAAATAAGCGCACACGGAAAAAAGCGCAAAGAGAAAAAAGCGCACACAGAAAAAAGCGCAAAGAGAAAAAAGCGCAAACGGAAAAAAGCGCAAAGAGAAAAAGCGCACACAGAAAAAAGCGCAAACAGAAAAAAGCGCAAACGGAAAAAAGCGCAAAGAGAAAAAAGCGCAAACGGAAAAAAGCGCAAAGAGAAAAAAGCGCAAACAGAAAAAAGCGCAAAGAGAAAAAAGCGCACACAGAAAAAAGCGCAAACAGAAAAAAGCGCAAACGGAAAAAAGCGCAAAGAGAAAAAAGCGCAAACGGAAAAAAGCGCATACAGAAAAAAGCGCACACGGAAAAAAGCGCAAACGGAAAAAAGCGCAAACGGAAAAAAGCGCAAACAGAAAAAAGCGCAAACGGAAAAAAGCGCAAACAGAAAAAAGCGCACACAGAAAAAAGCGCAAACAGAAAAAAGCGCAAACGGAAAAAAGCGCAAACAGAAAAAAGCGCACACAGAAAAAAGCGCAAACGGAAAAAAGCGCAAACAGAAACAGAAAAATGCGCAACCAGAAAAAACACAACGAAAAATGTGCAAAAGAGAAATTTAGCACAAAGACCATATGGACTAGATGACACATTTATACATGACTGTTAGGGCTGCTGTGAGAGTGTCGTGTTTGATCACGTGATCTACTACCATTTAAAGCGTACCACTACCATCTGCATTCCCATCACCACGATACAGGCGATAATCACTTTACACAATGCCTATTATTTTCTTGGTCAATAATTATTCAACTACTATTATCGTATAAACATAAAACTATCGACATTACACGAAGTATTCGACATTACACGAAGTATCTTTCACATTCTCCCGTCCGAACTACCTAGCTTGCATACTATAACAACCCGTTCCTATGGCAAAACTTCACTCTCTTTCATCCGCGTCATCAAACATGCATTCGTCATATCTCTCGTAACAACATTCATTCGCACCAAAATAACAATTTTGTATTTAATATTTTTTCACATCATGACGCACCTACCTACCTACCTACTACCCACCTACCCACCTACCTACCTACCTACCTACCTAACTACCCACTTACCCACCTACCCACCTACCCGCCTACATACTTACCAAACTACCCACCAAAAAAGTATCAGCGAAGTTCGTAAGTTTCGTAAACTGTACTAGACATCTTTTTTAAAATGAAATTTCATTGACATCATTGACATATGTTACATATATGTTACATTTTGCGACAACCTTAATTAGTGCGTTGGGCTTGTATGAAAACTCACTTCGAACTAACTCAATTACATGCTATTGCTATTTATTTTAACATTATACGGTAAGCGTCACCCAACTGTTGTGATGTGAGTCGAGGACAGGTTCGACAATAAACCAACACGAAAGTACGAAAGAGACAAAGATTGCCTATTAGAGAATGGACCCCTTAACTTTCCTAACCCCACCATTTATTATACCCTACCTAACCTCTAAATTTACTGCGCTAAATGTCACTTCCCTCCCAATCGTTCCTATTCTACAGAATTGTGTATACTATTTATTTACATTCTTTAATCTCAATATAACTAAAATAGACTTTTGTTTGAAGGGTAATGAAAACATGTAAACAAAAGGGACGCTACTCTAAATCTATGCGAATACTTATACGCAGTGTGGGTGGGTGGATGGATGTGTGGGTGGGTGGATGGATGTGTGGGTGGGTGGGTGGGTGGATGGGTGGGTGGATGTGTGGATGGGTGGGTGGATGTGTGGGTGGGTGGGTGGATGTGTCGGTGGGTGGATGGATGTGTGGGTGGGTGGATGGATGGGTGTGTGGGTGGGTAGATGGATGTGTGGCAGAGTAGTACGCTTTAAATGGTAGTAGATCACGTGATCAAACACGACATTCTCACAGCAGCCCTAACAGTCATGTATAAATGTGTCATCTAGTCCATATGGTCTTTGTGCTAAATTTCTCTTTTGCACATTTTTCGTTGTGTTTTTTCTGGTTGCGCATTTTTCTGTTTCTGTTTGCGCTTTTTTCCGTTTGCGCTTTTTTATGTGTGCGCTTTTTTCTGTTTGCGCTTTTTTCCGTTTGCGCTTTTTTCTGTTTGCGCTTTTTTCTGTGTGCGCTTTTTTCTGTTTGCGCTTTTTTCCGTTTGCGCTTTTTTCTGTTTGCGCTTTTTTCCGTTTGCGCTTTTTTCCGTTTGCGCTTTTTTCCGTGTGCGCTTTTTTCTGTTTGCGCTTTTTTCCGTTTGCGCTTTTTTCTCTTTGCGCTTTTTTCCGTTTGCGCTTTTTTCTGTTTGCGCTTTTTTCTGTGTGCGCTTTTTCTCTTTGCGCTTTTTTCTGTGTGCGCTTTTTTCTCTTTGCGCTTTTTTCCGTGTGCGCTTTTTTCTCTTTGCGCTTTTTTCCGTTTGCGCTTTTTTCTGTTTGCGCTTTTTTCTGTGTGCGCTTTTTTCTCTTTGCGCTTTTTTCTGTGTGCGCTTTTTTCTCTTTGCGCTTTTTTCCGTGTGCGCTTATTTCCGTTGCGCTTTTTGATTTGCGCTTTTTTCCGTTGCGCTTTTTTCCGTTGCGGTTCTTTCTGTGAACCACTTAGGATAATATGTACAGAGAGTGGATGATCTAAACCAGGGGTTCCCAACCCTGTGCACGCGGGCGCCATGGCGCCCGCTGAACGATTCGTATGTGCCCGCCTCTAACTATTCGACAGAGACAGAATTTTTTTCATAAGCATTTATTTGAAACTCTTAAAATAATCAGCCCATATTAAAGCAATGTTATGTTCTATAATTTATTAGTGGAAATACACAGTTATTATACGATGGGGTGATCTTAAATTAAGTAAATGAATATTAATTTGAAATGGCATTCTAAACGAGCATGTCACAATTACTTCCCATTTATTTTCTACTGTATTAATGGGAAATAATTCACAGACACAAAACCGATTCCTAACTTTTTAAATCAAAATTAAATAGTAGAAAAAAAAGAAAAATATGCTCACACATTATTCAAGATATAGTAAATCAAATTTCAAATATTATTAAATGTTAAAACAATGAAAGCTGATCTTGAATGCTTTATTAATGCTATTGATACATTTAGAAAACGAATATTGCGTGCTTATTAAATGTTGCTTTTCGTGACAAGAATATTATTCAGATGATTAATGTTGTGTGGTTTTCTATTTTTCTTTAGGCTAAAAATATTACCATTTAAAATGTCACCTGTTCGAAATAATGAAAAATAATGTGTCTTCCAAAAGAACGAAGATAAGATGGTACAAAGGTAATGCTAACTGTAAGGCACATGTTGTCTCTAGTCATCAGGTTACTGTCATATATGTGATGCATATATTGACCCGTCCATTCAGCGACATGATGTAGGCTAACAACCTTACACACACGTGGAAAAAACACAAACACTCTATTTTCTAAGCTTGTCAAGATATAGTAATTTTTAGAAACATAAACTATAACGATACAAAATTAAATTAGACAATACATATTTATGTTATTATTCATCAAAAGTTTTCAGGTGTAGACTAATAGGACGTATTGATTCACAAAAACACAATTATAAACTGCTCTTAAGTATTTATTGAAACCCAGGAAATGTTTTGTTATGTTGGGTTTCTCATACGGATTTTGGTTTCTTTTTTTCTATTTTTTTTTTACACAATGTCTGGTTTATTATTTATACATGTTTGGCTTCTCAAAATTTAAACCAGTGGTCTCCAAACTTTTTCGGTCCGTGAGGTCCTCTCATCTGGCCAGCGAAGATCTTTCTCCAGAAATTTTAAAACAATTTCAAAATGAAAGATGCAGCACAAAGACCAGTCTTTCAGCTGTTTGAGCCAGCCAATATGTTGGCTCTTGTAAAAGACCATAACTACTGTTGTCTACAAATGGAGGAAAACTTTTTGCAGAGCATTGGCCTAAAAGAGATGTCAGATACATCTTTTAGAAAAGAAAACAAGGGGAGCAAAGCGCCAACAAATTGTGGGCTAAGGAGAGACTAAAGAGGATTCAGTCTTCTAACTTTGGACGCATATGTAAGGCAACAGAAAAACAAATTTAAATAACTTAGTTAAAGTCTTAATGTATAAACGGGATATTAGTTCGCCTGCTCTAATGCATGGTCAAAAAAATAATTGAAGCTGTTGCTCTTAAGAAATTTCAATTTCTTGAAACCTATCCAGTATTTATAAATTAAAAATAAACAGTTAGGCTAAGAAAGGTTTGTTGTTTTTGATATTAACCTAAAAATTCGTGTCGCCACCTAGTGAAAAGTCTAGGATACTTTCGTTTGTATCTATGTGCAACTGGTCATTGCATAGCGCCTAATGGAAATCGGGAGTTCCGATGAGTGAGTGCAGATGGCAGCTAACTCTATATACTCATACTATGCTTAGATGGTAGATTTTCCAATATATTACATAGATCATGTCAGATCATGTTATGATGGGCCAGTCTTTTCTACCTTGGGATGACAAAAAAATTACATAACCAGTAAAACATGAATTGCAGTTTTATAAGTGTAAGGGGCTTTGCACACATTAAATATGACAATCGAGGGTTAATCCAGTTAATCAATAACACACACATACGTCAAAACAATCGTTTGGCATTACAGATAACCATAAACAAATACGATAGTAAACGTGTATAATTTGAATTCTCTCCCTTGAGTGTTTCACAATAGGCTTTAGGAAAAGTGGTTGAGACCATCCCAACTTCGGCAAAATTTGGAAAGTTGTTGAGTACTCAAAGACCTAACATTTGTTAAAATGTGTAGTCGAGAGGCTCTGTGGCTGGTACCCCGACAAAAGAGCGCACGACAAAAGAGAGCAGACAGTATAGCGCAGACAAATGAGCGCCGACATAACCCGATATTTTTGTGGATGTTATAAATGTATGACGCCTTAAGTTAATCATT